TCTGTGTCTCCCTCTCTCTCTGGCCCTCCCCCCATTCGTGCTCTGTCTCTCTCTGTCTCAAGAATAAATAAATGTTAAAAAAAAAAAATTTAAATAAAAAAAAATAAAAAGCTTCTCTGAACTATTCTTTTGAATGATCCTAAAAATTTTTGTGCTTTAAGTGGGTAGGCCATTTCTACAAATACATCATTTGGCTATTATTATCTCCTTAGAAAAATATGTAAAAATATTAGCCAGTAAAGAATAATAGGAGATAATCTGGGTCTTACGCACAGAGTGGTTTTTAAGAATCTGTGTACAAAATAGCAAATACTCATAAAGGTTCTCAGACGGGTATCGGAAGTCCATTATCAAAAGGTGCTTATGACAAGTTCTTAAATAGCAGGACATTTCTGGTGTAGAGTATTATACATTCATTTGCTGAATGGCTAAAAACATTTTTCATATCTGGAGACCAAAAAGTCCAGATTATTACTCTTAATTAACAATGCTAATTAAGGGTGCCTGGGTGGCTCAGTCAGTTGAGCGTCCAACTTCGGCTCAGGTCATGATCTCATGGTTTGTGAGTTCGAGCCTCGCGTCGGGCTCTGTGCTGACAGCTCGGAGCTTGCAGCCTGCTTTGGATTCTGTGGCTCCATCTCTGTCTGCCCCTCCCCCACCTGTACTCTGTCTCTCAAAAATAAATACATGTTAAAAAAAATTTTTTTAAATGCTAATTTTATTTTAGAAAGTGGGATTTATCAATATTTTAAATAGGCATTACCTTTGACCAAGAAATTCTACCTCTTGGAATTTATTCAAGAAAAACTTCACATTAGTACAAAAAGATATAGGTACACTATTGATGAGGGTTTAGACTGGCAGAAAGCCATTTGGTAGGAGCTTTTTTCTTTTTTTTTTCATAGAGCACTCACACAAGTGGGTGAGGGTTATAGGGAGAGGGAGCAAGAGAATCTTAAGCGGGCTCCATGCTGAGTGTGAGGCTAGTTCTCACAACTGTGAGATCATGACATGAGCTGAAATCGAGAGTCAGATGCTCAACTGACTGAGCCGCCCAGGTGCTTCTGGTAGAATCTATTAAAATAAAAATGCGCATAGTCTTTCACATGGAAATTTTACCATGAAGCATTCTTGAAAAATACAAAGGCATATAACAGAACATTTGATGCAGCATATTTGTGACAGTAAAAATTAGAAACAACAGGGGCGCCTGGGTGGCGCAGTCGGTTAAGCGTCCGACTTCAGCCAGGTCACGATCTCGCGGTCCGTGAGTTCGAGCCCCGCATCAGGCTCTGGGCTGATGGCTCAGAGCCTGGAGCCTGTTTCCGATTCTGTCTCCCTCTCTCTCTGCCCCACCCCCGTTCATGCTCTGTCTCTCTCTGTCCCAAAAATAAATAAACGTTCAAAAAAAAAAAAAAAATTAGAAACAATGGAAGTGTGTATGAATAATGCAAATGATTAAATAAACATTACTTCCGTATTACAGAACGGAGACATCTGAAAAGATTCAACTAGATATGCATCGTGATGCTCTGCAAAGGGGAGAAAGACATGTACACGCTATGTACAGCAGACTGTTCAGTGGGACCAGAGAAAGAGAGGGAATTAAAAACGCATACAAGCTAAAGTGGTATTTGAGGGTTTTTTTTTTTACAGTACTCATGTACTATCGTCTTAATTTTAAAAACTACACATTCTTCCTCGACTTCACATAAGTGCTTTCATGATTCCATAAAGACTCATTTATTACAGCTTTACTTAGCCAAAAGACGGAAAACGGGTTTTTTTTTTTTAACTTAATCTCTACAACAGAATCTCTAAAAATCTCTGAGACAGAAAAGATTAGAAATCTATCTGGTTCTACCTGCTTCTAATGTGTCTGGTTCATCTGGTCTCTGGGCGATCTGTAAGTAATACAACAAAGAGCCGTACAGGTGTGTCCTCACTCGCTGGAATCCGCCACCTAAGGAGATACAGAGTACAAACCCTGTTTCAAATGAAAGTTAAAACAAACACAAAAGGTGTGATTTGTAAGAAATTTAGATGAAAAAACCTGTCTTCAAAATGAAGTCTAACAGTTTCTTCAATATGATGTGAAGCGAAGAGTCTCCAATAGAAGCAAAACCCACCACCGGGTTCTCTGCTGGAGAAGGTGACGTGAACGAGCTATCGAGCATAAAAGCGTAATGGGTCTCTCCGGGTCCCAAGACTAATGGTTGCTTCTGTTCAGTGCGAACGGCTTGGCTTAGGTGAGCAGTCAAGGTGAACACAGCACCTGCTACCACTGGCATTAACTCCTGCGCTGCTTCATCATCTAGTATCTTAAAGCAGAAAGACAAATCAGCTACAGTCATTAACAGGTTTTATATACCCTGAGCTTTCACCTACCATTAAGAATATAAGAATGGAATGTCATTGATCAAAGAAAATAAAAGCTAATATATAGAAAAATTTAAATATGATACTGGTAACGTGTGTTCTTAACCAGAAGGGATTCCTATCAGGATTCCTTAGAGAGGTCTTTAATGTAAATTCACACAAGTGGTCACCCACCAGAGTGTCCCATTCAGTATGTCCGGGGTGGGATCCATCCGTGTATTTTTAAAAAGCTCGCTACGTAATTGTGATACATACTTTGGTTGAGAGCCATTACTGTACAGAAGACTTTCTCAAGGATCGCCTTAACACTGGCAATACACAACTCTATTTATTCCTAACATAAAAGGGGAAAAAAAGGATGGTGGGAAACTGTGTTTTTAAGTAGTATATAAAGATCTATTCAGCAATACTGGAAGTAACTAGGAAGTAAGGAAGTTCAGGAAGCAATTTAGGAAGTACATTACCTTATCATGCACATCTTGTAAGATATCACGGATAATCAGTTGCCGATCCTCTGCCTGAATGAGGTCCTGGGGACAAGCTGTCAGTATAATCTCCACCAGCTGCCTCCATGACTCCAGCACGTGCCGTTTTGCATGAAGACACTGCAGCAGCTTGTTTCTTCCTACCACATACTGAAGTATAGTGCTGATTTCCTAAAGCCACAGAAATTGGATCACAAGGTTAACAAATGGGCAGATAATATCTTTTACCAAAAGGGTCCGATTTTAACTTTATCTTTTTTAGTAATCTCTACACCCAATGTGGGGCTCCAACTCACGTCCCTGAAATCCAGAGTCGCACGCTCCATCAACTGAGCCAGCCAGGCACCCCAACAGAGTCCTATTTTTCAAGAGTTATTTATTCTGTCAGTTAACCTGAACACATCTGTAGTATATTTAGGAAACCTTCCACATGCATGCCAGTCAGCAGAGGTGGTAGGGGTTTTTTAACCCCATTTTCTTTGTAGTATCTACTTACACTTACTCTAGAGCACTGGAATTGCCTAAAACTCAAGTTCAAGGGCATGTCTCCCTGACATATCTTTTATTTCTTTGCTTCTTGCTTTGGCCTAGCCACCTGTGTTTCCATGTGTGTGGTTCTTCTCACCTGACCTCTAACCCACTGCTCCCCACCTGTGATGAAAAACCACTCTCTCTTCCCTCACCGACAGAGAACAAGGGAAGTCTAATACACAATATGGACAGGTTGCAAATCCTAAACTAGCCTAGCAGAAAAAAAAACGTTACTTACTCTGGCATCCAGATATTAACTTCAGTTCAGTTTACAAGTTTTAAAGTCAAAAATGGAAGATTCCATTAAGGTTTAATTTCAAGTAGTTTACTAACTGATGAACTACAAGTCAATTTACAGTTTTGTCTTCTAACTGGCAGTTAAATAGGTAGAAGATTCAAACTAACAAGTTCTCAATAGGGCTTACCTCCATCAGGAGAGGTCTCTGTCCTATGGCTGCCATACCCTGGAGGGCATTTACTTCAGCTACAAGGACTCTATGAAGAAGCTACAGAATTGAGAAAAGAGTGAAAAATCAGACCATTTCAGAATAATAACCTCTAGCAATTACTATAAACTGCCTTAGTGGAAACAGTGTTGGATACCTCTATATATAATCTATAAGTGACTCTGTTCGGTCTCCAGTCAAAAACATTAGGTGTCCCTCACATTACTGAGTGGGACCAAGGAGCCTCTGTGGCAGGTAAGTTAGCGCAAATGCCCTTGGATATCTTCTTCCTATTAGTGAGACCATTACCAGTTACCTGGTAGAGAGTAAAACCATTCCATAGCTAGGTGGCATGACTACTATCAGGAAGGTGATGGGGAACCTTTTAAAGAGGTAAAGCTAGTGTCGCCTATTCTGTTTCATTTCCCTGCTGTTAGAAAAGTGAAAACCACAGTCTAATAAACCAATACCCTTATCAGAAAACAACTGCATGGTTCTCTTTTTGTCTGAGGACTCAAAGTCTAAACCACTTGATACTGCATACACTTTAAAACAATCCTTACCTTGACGTTGCAGACTGTCTGTCCCCGTAAATTCTTGTGTTCACAGTTAGCAATAACTTGCTCGATCTGGGCCCGATCAAAGAAATCCAACTGCAAAGGCTCAGGGATCTCCTGACTGAAGTCAATCGAGTCAAGAATGCTTAGAATCTTTCGACGTACTAGAAAAAATAGAAAGTGGTTCGATTTTATTTGGGACGGTGAGGAGAAGAGCAAACCGTTGTACTCAGCTCACTCTCAAAGATAGTGCTAGGTTCAATAAAGGGAGTTGAGGGGGTACCTGGGGGGCTCAGTCGGTTAAGCGTCCAACTCTTCATTTTGGCTCAGGTCATGATCTCACGGTAGTGAGATCGAGCCCCGAGTCAGGCTCTGTGCTGAGCATGGAGCCTGCTTGGGATTCGCTCTCTCTCCCTCTCTATCTGTCCTCCCAGCTTACACTCGCACTTTCTCTCTCAAAACAAATAAATCAACGTTGTGGGGGGGGGGAAAGAAAGAAAGGATGTTAAGCCCAGAAATGGAAAACTGTGTTGAAATCTAAATGTGATTTTATTTCTAATACATCCATTTGCAAAAACATTTTTTCCCATTCATTCATCCTAGTTATAAAAAAGTTATTTTTGAATGACAACTAATCCTTTCTATAGCTCTTCTATACCAGTTCAGAATTTGCAGATACAGGTGTCATAATTATCTCTTCAAATTTAAGCAATTTAATATATACCTATAAATTTATTATAGATTCAAAGGGTTTTACCTTTTGTAGCAGTGTCAAAGTGAAGGAACCCAGAGACAGACCTATTTTCATCTTCTATTCCTCCTTCACCATCTGTTAGAGCATCAATAATAACAGATCAGGAAAAACAACAACATACTCATAAAATTTATTTGGAAATAACAAGGTATTTTTTTTTCTAGATCACTGTTGCTAGGTCAGAGAGCCCTCTGCAAATGGATAATTGAAATGCAAAGATGATGAGAACTTACCAACATTCATCTAATTCTTTCTGTCCCCAGGAGATCCACTTCACAATTGTAAAGAGGATAATCAGAACTCCCAAAGAGGCAAGACCCATTCCCACCAATGCGATGATTAGAAAAGCTTATGTTTAATTTGCATGTATAACACACGTTAAAATACCTTGGGTCATCCTGGCTCAGTGTGGCAAACTCCACTGAATATTTGAATATAGCAGAACGCGGATGCTTCAAACAATAATCAAATAGCAATTATGGGATGAATTTAAAAGTTTTGCGTTTTAAGGAAAAAAATTTCTAAAGACAGAAAGAACTTGTTTAGCCTACAATCACATGCTAAGCGCAAGACTGCAGCGCATGCCTTCACACGGACCAGTCAGCAGCACAAGAGAACAAATGGCAACATGTACACACTCACCTGAGTACGGTCTCACAGGCATGTCGTCCAGTAAGAGATGTAGGAGCCTCTGGGTATGTGACCGCTGACGATTCAGAGAAGTTACCCGTAGTTCTATTGAGGCAGTCTTCATTAGCCATGACATCTGGTTCAGCATAGACATTTCATACTCTGCAAGTTAAATACATGAGTTTAGTTTCCTAGAGTATAATAACAGGATCATAACAGATCTAAATTCCTTAACTCGTCAGATATTTGCTCACGTAAGTAACATACTCCACAATTTATGAAACTTGGCATCATAATAATTTATCACCCTGGAAGAAAATTAAAAAAGCAAAAACAGATGCTAAGAGAAAAAAAATAAGCACGTCCATGTCTATAAAGATGAGCCAAAGCAAATGAAGAACAAAAGAGAATCAATTTTCCATTACCAGGATAATTTCACACTTATCTATAAAATTCTAAGTCTGTCCTACTTTGACATTAACACAGACTTCATACTTAAAAACAAACACTAATTCTCAAATATATAACTTGTAAAAAAAAAAAAAAAACGCCCTTATATGCAGTTTGACTTTTATTTCATAAAACAAATACCCAATGCATAATTTTATGATCTCTCTTAAGATAATCCAGGACATGTGATTTCACATATAATTAGGGTTGGTCTTCGCAGCATAGCAGCCGCAGCCCTGCGCTACCCTACAGCTGTGGGCCTCAGAAAGGGCTACAAGGTGACCAAGAGCATGAGAAAGCTGAGGCACAGCCACCAAGGGCACCTCACCAAGCACTCCAAGCTCACATGGGACATGAACTGAGAGGTGTGTGGCTTCACCCCACAAAAGCAATGTAGTGTGCAGCTGCTCAAAGTCTCCAAGGGCAGGGGGGCTCTCAAGTTCATCAAGAAAAGGGCAAGGACATGCATCAGCACCAAGAAGAGGAGAAGAACTTGGCACATCCTGGCAGCCGTGAGCGAAGGGGCTGTCGCGAAGGACTGAGCCCCTCCCCACTCTGTGCACACTGAAACGCTTCCAGAAACAAAACCAAAAATGAAACCTAAAATCAGGACTGGGAATCACTTATACAAGTTTCTGACTCCACTATTTTTAATATGCCTGATTTAAAGTCCTAAATTCTAACAGTATAAACATAAAACACACCAAATAGTACTACAACCACCACCCCTACCACCACAGTAACAGGCAAAACTCGTTTTTTTTTTTTTAAAACTAGGTTGATTTTTAAAAGACAGATACAGTAAGAGACAAAGCATTAACTTTTCTTTCTAATTAGGTATAAAGGAGGGTTGCTTAAAAAGCTTATAATATAAACAGATCTTAGAATTAAAAATAAGACATGCTTATTATGAAAATGAAGCGAAAAATGTTTGTCATTAGATAATTCCCAAAGTTCTCTCATTTCATCACTCTAAAACGTGGATTAGAAGCAGATAATTACTAGTAATAAAAATTTATTATGAAATCCGTGAGCTTACACTTCCCAGAACATAAATAAAATACAAAAAAAAAAAAAACCTTAAAAAAAACTCCATGGACTGTAACTGTCTAGATATAAATCGAATTCAGAAAATTGTTACAAAATGATCAGAAAGAAAATTATATAAAGCAGAATCCTATAAAAGAGAGGTAGCCTGGGATTGCGTTGGTTAGGTCAATAAACTCAGTTATTTCCACTATACTTAGCTTTCTATTTCTCATTTCAAGATCTCAAGTGGTTTCAATACGTACACAAGAAACAAAAGGAAAACAAGACATTTTAATTAAACACCGTCACTCAAAAAATCTAAATTTCCAGAATCTTCTCAGATAAATATTTTCTTATCTCTTCAACACAATTTAAATATTTTATTTGGTAGTATAAGGATCAAATTCCATCCCTGACAAGCTATTTTTAAATAACTTTATGCCAGCAGCTAGAACATGAGGCTTCTCAGTGACAAATTACAAAAGCAACCCAAAATAACGAAAAAAGCAAAGTAACAAAATGAAACGGAATTCCACAAATACTGTAACTGCTACCCTGAATGTTATATAAATAAAATCACATAGACTTCACAAATTAGTTATAACAATATGGGAAAATAATGTCCTACCTTTGTTAGAAAAAGGTAAATGTTGCAACTGTGAAAATAAGAAATCCTGGCTGGTTCTCAAGTACCTCATAGTAGGACCAGATGTATCAGAGCACGCACACAACTGATATATCACCTAAAGAGTTAAAATGAAGTAAAAAAATCCACAAATCATTTCTTTTGTGTTATAAATTGTAAGTTAAAAGGTGAACTTAGATTTACTAAACAGAAGCTAAGACCCATCAATAACTTAAGAAAAATGGATAAACACAGATGCTCAGTTATAAGCAATCATTAGCACCCCAACTCAAGAATACAGATTGGAATAGTGCTGATGACATTATTATACAACTCATGTTTAAGTCAACCTCAGTACGTTTATTAATACATATAGTTAATTTTAAAAGTATAGTAAAATAGTTAAGTATTTTAACTATTACTAATAACAAATCACTTGGAAGTAACTTCTAAAAAATTTTTTTAGCGTTTTAATTCACTTTTTGAGAGGCAGAGAGAGACAGAGCACGAGCAGAGGGGCAGAGAGAGAGGAAGACACAGAATCTGAAGCAGGCTCCAGGCTCCATTCTTTTTGATCCGACGCGTAGTACAGAGCCCAAAGCAGGGCTCGAACCACGAGCCGTGAGATAATGACATGAGCCAACATCGGCCACTTAACTGACTGAGCCAACCAGGCACCCAGGAAACAACTTCTAAAAACCATACTTAATTTAGTTGAACCTTAGGAAGGTAATAAACTTACCAGGATTGAAGTAATCAAAAAAATTACAAAGAAATCCAGATTCAACTAAATAACAAATATAAACTCTAAATTAAATAAAAATTTAGCAGAAAATAATAGAATTGGGGATAAAGGCTTGCTTTTGTATAAATATAAGAAATACCTATTAGATATATAAAACTTTCCATTAGGTATATGAGTATCATATACCTAAATAGATAAAAGGGCAAAAAACATTTGAGAGGAAGGAAAAAATATATAGCCTACCATCAAAAATTGTCCATCCTTTTTAGTGATAAAAAAATTAAGGGGCATGGCTTAGTCCATTAAGTGTCTGACTTTGGCTCAGGTGATTATCTCAGTTTATAGGTTCAAGCCCCTCTTCGGGCTCTCTGCTGTCAGCACAGAACCTGCTTTCGATCCTCTGTCCCTCTCTTTCTCTGCCCCTCCCCTGCTTGCACTCCCTCCCTCTCTTTCTCTCTCAAAAATAAATAAACATTAAAAATAAAAATTAAGGCCTCACTGGCTCAGTCAGTAGGGACTGCAACTCTTAATTTCGGAGTCACATGAGTTTAAGCCCCACATTGGGTATGGATCGTACTTAAAATAAATAAATACATACATACATACATACATACACACATACACACACACATAAATACATAAATACATAAATAAATAAACACTCAGTCAATAAGGCAGGCCTCTTAATGTAAACAGCAAAATTTTTAACTATAAAAAGCAAATCCTGGAGTGCCTGGGAGGCTCAGTTGGTTAAGCATCAACTTCAGCTCAGGTCACGATCTCACGGTTCATGAGTTCGAGCCCCACATCAGGCTCTCTGCCGTCAGTGAAAAGCCTGCTTCAGATCCTCTGTCCCCGCCCCCCTCTTTCTTGCCCCTCTCCCACTCATGCTCTCTCTCTCAAAAATAAATAAAACTTAAAAAAGCAAATCCTAGTATTTGGCAAAGTGGTAGTGAAAACTTTCATTTGTGAAAGATTGATTTTATACATACTTATTAGATGCTTTCCATGTAAAAGGAATTTTAAATTCATCTGTTATTGGCACTACTTAATGCATACTATAATTGTCAAGATTACTTGCAAATTAAAATCTGAAGTCATGGGGCACCTGGCTATTTAATTATCAGTCAATGAAAATGTCGGGACAGAGGCTTACAGGGTTCTAACCTATGTTTTCTCTGGGAGCAATGGTTCAATATTCACCAATTCAGTGTTCACTGTCAATTTATAAAACCAGTAATGACAATCAACTGCAAAACCATGTCTGAAATTATATTCTTTTTTTAAATGTTTATTTATGTATTTTGAAAGAAAGAGAGAGAACGAGTGGGAAAGGGGCAGAGAGAGAGCGGGAGAGAGAGAATCCCAAGCAGGCTCTGCACTGTCAGCACATAGCCCGGCATGGGGCTCGAACTCACGAACTGAGATAATGACCTGAGCCAAAACCAAGAGTTGGACACTTAACTGACTGAGCCACCAAGGCACCTCTGGAATTATATTCTTAAAATAAACAAAAAACAACAAAAGTAACTAAAGGTGTTTGTTAGAGCAAAGTAAAAACTTGAATATAATGTACAGAAAGTTCATACAGAGAGGGGGAAAGGACACAAAACTGTCAGCTGAATGTAACTATACAAACAGGTATACACAAGGAAGAAAGATAAGAACACAAAGTAAAAACTTAAATAGTTCTACTGTAGATGCATGTTGTCTTTCAAATAGCTTTGACATTATTTTTGATACTCTATTAACAAATAAAAATTTGATAAGCTGATAATGAACGTCTTCAAACAAAACAAAATCAGTCAATCGTATCAGATGATCAGTTAAGAAGATACAAGAATAGAGGCTCAAAGATGTGGGACGAGTAATATATCAGAGGAAGGACACAGAAAAGGAGTTCCCAAAGCACTACTAGCCATTTTACAAGCATGTGCCTAAGAACCTCCCTAGTTCCCAAGACCAGGCAAGAGAAATGTCCATCCTGAGAGGAGAGAGCACAGGTCTAGGCTCAATCTCAACTTCTGCACCCAGAAAGTCGCATACTGCCGGGAGAGGAAGGTATCAGTAAGGTCCAAACTAGTTCCCTTTGCTACAATCAGAGTTATCTAAACTCACAAGCTCTTCAAAGTTTGAATTTTTTTTCTGAAGCAGAGTGAAGTATAAATCTATAGGTGAAGGAAGCATCTTTCATGAAAAATGGAGCAGTGCCTCATTAAAATGCAGATTCTGACTCAGCGGCCTGGAGTGGGGCCTGAGATTCTGCTCTAACAAGCTCCCAGGAGTGCTGCTGCTGAGGCTGGACCACGCTTGGAGTAGCAAAGTCACAGAGCATATGTAATAAGCTGGCAGACTGCTGGTACAGACATGCTTCCTTTGGCTAGTACAGTGTATTAAAAACCAGAGAATCTGGCAAACCGGGACCCACAAGCTGACATGGTGAAAACTAGCAGTGCACGTGCTTCCCGGTCTGCCAGATCCTCCTCCTCCTCCTCCCTCTCCCAACCTTTTTGTCTTACATCTGGCTTCATTCACTTACTTCACCTGTCTAACTCCTTTAGCCTAGATGATTAAGCTTATCGACTACTTCTATCTAAATATGTCGAATTCTGTAATGCTGTTAAAATGTACATCAAGTTGATTCCCCCATTAAGGAAGAATTCATTTTGATTCTAGTACTTACAGTGAAGGGCTGTCTGGACAACCAGAAGATAGAAGAAAATAGAAGGGAATTACAAAAAGAGAAACAGGAGAATAAAGAAAAACGTCCAGCTCGCTATAGGTCAACGATGCCTTTCTTATGGCAATGTAAACCAAGGCGCTACTAAAATTGAGAAATTAGTCGCATCCTATAAAGCCTAGTTCTTAAAACACCAAATGAATGAAACAAGAAATAATCATAAGTGAACACAAGCAAAGCAGAGGTTCTCATCCTAGTTTAAACAACTGGACTTTCCACCACCCTACATCTAGCTCCAGAGCTGCAGGATTCACATGGTTCTTAAAAAGCGCTTTCGGGGGCACCTGGGTGGCAGTTAATAGTCAGTTAAGCTAACAGGTAATAGTCAGTTAAGTGTCTAACTCTTGGTTTCGGCTCAGGTCATGATCTCACGGTTCGTAAGTTTGCGCCCCATTTTGGGCTCTGTGCTGGTAGTGAGGAGTGTGCTTGGGATTTTCTCTCTCTCTCTAGGTCTCTGCCCCTCCCACTCTCTCTCTCTCTCTCTCAAAATAAACTTAAAAAAAAAAAAAAAAAGGACTTTCATCCACATCTTACATTCTCAGTTAAGCCTCATAACAACCCACTGCACAAACTAAAAAACTCAGCAGAAGTTTTGTGACATGCCCAAGGTGATTTAGCTAACTAACTAGCTAAATCACAGAGATGAGAATCAGAGGTCTTCTGAGCCAAATCCACTGCTGTCTTCACCAAAAAGAAACAACATGCAACAGAACCACTGGAAACTTTCTACACTAGCAGGTCAAAATCCACCTCGAATTTTCTCTCATTTTTCAAGTGAGCAACACATAGGACCTGTAGATCTACAGGATCTGGGGGTCTCTGTTTTAGGGATTTAATCTATATATGAAAGACAAGGCAAACTACCAGATAAACTCATTTCAACTCAAGTCTTATTGTTATACTTCTGCATCTGTGATATATTCAAGCATCTAGTTAAATTTCTTCTACTGAGTGCTATGAAATGCAGCCTTCTATATACCTGGTAACATAGCTCAGCGAGTTGAGGAGATTCTCTCACTGCCACTGGACCTGTTCTCCCTTCAGTTCCTTTCTCCAAGATGTTTAAAATGGCATGAAGGCATGTTCGAGGGCAACCTAAGACTCCTACGTGAAACCAAAAAGAAATTCAACTTTTAAATTTCTGCATTAAGACATTAAAATACCTTTAGAAAAGTTAAATTCCATAAACATATGTTCTATTGTAAACACCCTTTCAAATACGGACACCGAAAATTAATAAATGCTAATTTTCCAAGGCTTAATTTGTCCAGACTTTGTCTAAGTCCTAAAGATTGACCTACCACATGACCTCTCACTTTCAGTGAATTATCCCATGAGTCCAGAACTCAATGAATGATCACTTAGCTAAACAAATACGACAAGAAAGAAATGTCTGTGTGTCTTATGGCTGTACCTGGATCCTGTAGGTTTGTGGTACTGACAGGCTTCTTCAATTCAAAGCCCAACAGGTAGAGAGCAAGATTGGGTGGATTGCGCTCCAGAGAGGTTATGAGAAGATTCAAGATGTGGATTCTTGTTTCCTGACGGATTCCAGCTAGTTTCTTCTCAAGTTCTGATCCTTCATGTGGAAACCCACAAAACAAAATTACAAAACAAAACAAAAATCAACATAAACCACATTTAAATATATATAGCTTGCATTCCAAACCTCCATGTTTTTCTTCAAGTTTACCTCATTAGCCATCACAGTGAGTTCACATTTGTTGAAGAGGTTTCCACAAAACCTTACAGGTTTGTACCAGCAGATTTCCAAACTTCTCTATCATCGCCAATAGACAGTTAACAGTTTTCTTTATATTAAGTATTTATATAAAGTGAAAAATGAATACATTAATATAAGACATACCCTCTTCTGGGGCGCCTGCATGGCTCAGTCGGTTAAGCGTCCGACTTCAGCTCAGGTCATAATCTCATAGTTCGTGAGCCTGAGGCATGCGTCGGGCTCTGTGCTGACAGCTCAGAGCCTGGAGCCTGCTTTGGATTCTGTTTCTCCCTCTCTCTCTCTCTGCCCCTCACCCACTCACACTCTGTCTCTGTCTCTCTCTCTCTCAAAAATATACAAACATTTAAAAAATTAAAAGAAAGAATGAAAGAAATACATACCCTCTTCTAGACGTACAAATTCTTCTGTGTCTTCACTATCCAAACATTCCACAAATCCAGCCATCAACTTCTGACTTACACTCTGGAGTCATATAAAGATTTGTTAAAAGACAAATTTATAAAGTTCTTTAATAATGTGAGAGAAACTATGATAAATGTGATATACATTCACAAACATTTGTCTCTAAAGAAAAAAGGCAAATCTCTAAAGTATTTAGGTTTCAGTTACACTTTTAATAGGAAACTCAGTTCCTGAAATAGTAGTAAGATAGCTCTTTATAGAAATAATTGAAAAAACAAAATTTTCTTTAAATGTTTATTTATTGTGAGGGAGAGAAAAGTTGGGGGGGGGGGGAGAGAAAGAGAGAGAGACGGAGGGAGGGAGAGAGAGAGAATCCCAACACAGGGCTCGATGTCACAGGCGTGAGATCATGACCCGAGCTAAAATCAAGAGTCAGATGCTTAACCAACTGAGCCACTCAGGTGCCCCAAGAAACAAAATTTTTAACACTTTCTCGGTTTCAAAACTTGCTTCCCCAATTTTCTTTCCCAAAGAATTAAATCAGTTTTTATTTTTATTTTTTTTTTCATTTTTTTTTCCAATGTTTTTATTTACTTTTGAAGGAGAGAGAGACAGAGCATGAGCAGGGGAGGAGCAGAGAGAGAGGGAGACATAGAATTTGAAGCAGGCTCCAGGCTCTAAGCCATCAGCACAGAGCCTGATGTGGGGCTCAAACCCACGAACTGTGAGATCATGACCTGAGCCGAAGTCAGACGCTCAACTGACCAAGCCACCCAGGCGCCCCTCAAATCAGTTTTTTTAAAAAAAAATACATTAAATTGCCATCTCATGACCTCTTCATTTATATACCCAATGGTATGGGATCTTAACTAAAATAAAATATAAAATTCTCATCTTCTCTCTTTACAAACGTTTTGCCTGTCACCAGTTTTATGTTTCTGGGCTGAGAGATTAGATACTACTTAATCTCCTCGAGGAATATAGCAGGATGTTAAAACTGGTCATAATAATTCATACTCAAATGTATATGAGTGAGGGGCACCTTGGCTGACTCGGTTAAGCATGCAACTTCAGCTCAGGTCATGATCTCACGGTTTGTGAGTTCGAGCCCCGCGTCGGGCTCTGTGCTGATAGCTCACAGCCTAGGACCTGCTTCGGATTCTGTGTCTCCCTCTCTCTCTCTGCCCCTCCCCTGCTCATGCTCTGTCTCTGTCAAAAATAAATGAACATTAAAAACATTTTTTTAATATGAGTGAGCTGAGAACCTCACCTACTACATCCCCTATCATGTAGTTTTCAAGAACCTCATCCAAAGGCCAGATTAGACATCAATATTTTACTATAAACAGTGGTTCTCAACCTGGGTGGTACTGACACTCCAGATGGCACTTTGGGAAATATGTGACGCCAGGGGCACCTGGATAGCTCAGTGGGTTAAATGCCCAACTCTTGATTTCAGCTCAGGTCACAATCTCATGGTTTGAGTTCAAGCCCCATATTGGACTCTGTGCTGACAGAGCAGAGCCTGCTTGGGATTCTCTCTCTCTGCCCCTTCCCTGCTCATACTCTTTCTCAAAATAAATAAATAAACTCAAAAAAAGACAAAAAGAAATATGTGAGAGCCTTCTGAGTTGTCACAACCAGAGTTTACTACTGACAGACAGTAGTAAAGATTGTAGTAAAGCATCTAGGGATGCTAAGAGACTTGCAATATGAGCAAGAGTGACACAGAAAATGAAGATCTGTCCCATCCAAAATGCCAGAGTAGTCCCTATTTTAAAACACTGCGAAGGAAGACACAACAAAATATAACTAGCTAAAAGCAGTGGTTTCTAACATGAAGATACAATGGGACAAACGCCTATAAAGAGGGAAAAAAAGCAGCAGATTCCCCAATAGTAGCTATTCAGCGACCTATTCGGAATAGAAAGGGACTATAAATTGGATTAAATGAACATCTGAAAACTGTCTATAGTGCAATAGCCAATGGAGTGACACAAGTGTAAGTCACCAGAAAGCCACAGAAGTAGACAACTCAACAGTGAGAAACACTGAGAATTGCAGAGGCTCCCTCAGATTGTACCCAACTGACAGAGGGAGAAACAACAGATGCAAAATACAAGCAGAAGCTGCACTTACAAACCTCATCACTTCAACTGCTCTATTAGAGGAGCAACAGTCCCGCTACGCCCTCCTGTCCACGCGCGACAGCACAGACAGCACAATCACACACTACAGCCTGTGCACTGTCACTGCGGATGGCGACATCCGCAAACACAAATCACAGCCCAGTTGATGAACAGGTTTCACCGTCATATATAAATCTACTTACTCTCACAGAACTGTTTCATAAACAAGAATATGATTCCTCTAATAGACAACTGTGACTTCCATACGTACTCAGAATGACCCAAAAGAAGTAACAACATGGGGTGTCTGGGTGGCTCGGTCGGTGAAGCATCCGACTTCGGCTGAGGTCGTATCTCACAGTTTGTGAGTTCGGGCCCCGCATCAGGCTCTCTGCTGTCAGCATGGAGCCTGCTTCAGATCCTCTGTCCCCGTCTCTCTCTGTTCCCTCCCTCTCCCTCTCTCTCTCTCAAAAAATAAATAAACATTAAGAAATAACAAGAACATCAATTACCTGGTCATGTGTGAAATCTCCAACCAATTTTATCTGAATATTGGAGTTACAAGAGATACAGCAGAGGATCTTGGCACTTTCAAAAGCCAATTCGGGATTAGTATTGCCATGATATAGGTATCTTTAAAACAAGAAAACATTTGAGGAACAATGTGACACAACTTTTGGCTTTTAAAACACTCTTCTCAACAAAGAACATATAGAATCAGGGTCGTAGAGCACTCTTGGGTAAATTAGACAATGACTTCCATTCTAACTAGATACAGTCTATTATGGGTTGAACTGCATTCCTCCAAAATTCAATCGCTGATACTGAACCCAAAGTGAACTTTTGGAAACAGGGTCTTTGTAGACACAGTCAGTCAAGTTAACGTGAAGTCATTAGGGAAAACCCTGGTCCAACGACTGCTGTCCTTATTAAAAGGGGGAATTTGGAATAGATACGCACACAAGGAGAACACCATGTGAAACTGAAGACAGTAATCGGGGTGATGTCTCTGTAAGTCACAAAACAAACAGTGCCAAGCAAGCCACTGGAAGCTAGGACATATACAGTGAGAAGTTTGCTCCCTAGCCTTGTCCTCCAAACACCCAGTCTCCCTGCAGGAGACAAATAGTACCAAAGTAATGTCATTTTATACTTAGAAATGTTTAGGAACAGAATCCATTAAGGAAGAAGAAAAAGGAATTGTAAAGGTCAGAGAAATTAAAATCAGAGGGGCTAAGGAAGGTAAGAACAAAACGAGCCCCACTTACCCCACTCGCCAAGTGATGAATGAGAGATCGGATCAGATTTGGAAATCAAAGGTAGAATGCCCACGTGATTTTATTTAGACATTTTTCTACCTACAAATGTAACTTACCTGGCAATATTCACCACATTATCGGCCTTCTTAGTTCTGGGATTGATTCCCTGTAATAGCTGTTCTAAAGGAGAGACTATTAGAGCTAGCTGACTCTCTCTTAGAAGATCCATAAAGAGATTTTCCTTTTGCAGAGTAAGATTGAGAAGGGCAAGGCAGTGCTGCACTGCTTTCTCCAGATGCTTCTTCCCTAGAAAAAATTACAAAGAAAATTAGAAAGTTCTACATGAATCTTAAAAACACATAGTTCTTAGGAAAACAAGCTAAAGGACAAATTCTGGACTCAAAAAGCCCTCAGAAGGTCACTTACAGCAGCAACTTCATAAAACTGTTCACTCGAGCAATTCACAGTAATTTGGTAACTCAAGATTCTTTGTATGCAATGGCCTCTCGTCATTTTCCCTGATCTCTTCCTTGATTATTTAAAGCAATGGTTCTCGGATGGGGGTGATTTAGGCCCCAGAAGACACCTGGCAAGGTCTGGAGATACTTTTGGTTGTCACAACTGGGAAAGCACTACAGGGATCTAGTGGGTAGAGCCTACAAAGCACAGGACGGCCCCCACAACAAAGATTTTTATCTTTGAATGTCAGTGTGAATGGTGCCAAGACCTAGTAAGCGATTTAGGGTGATACATGCTCATTGCAGAAAACGTGCAAATAAAGAAACTGAGAATTTGAACAAGGATCACCCATAAACCCACCATTCAAATTTAAAATACATGGGCTCTCGAGCCAAACTGCCTAAATTCAAATCACAGCCCTAAAACTTGCTGCAGATAAAGATGCAAAACCTCTCTCTTACACAATTTCCTTATTTACAAACTGGAAGTAATAACATCTACCACAAAGGGCTTTTGTACAGATTAAATGTGTTAAATGTGCTCTTAACAGCACCAAGTACATACGAAGCACTCAATAAACCATGATAATTAGCAGTAATAATGATATTAAGTGAAATTTATCAAACACTGTATCAGGCACGATAGTAAGTGCCTTGACAAATACCATATGGACAAGAAACAAAAAGTGCATTAGATTTAAATGTAAGCACATTAGAGACATCAAAGTGAAAGAAAGATCATTATAATTACCTATAAAAGACCATGTAATGAAACACAGTTCTACTGACAGTCTCTGTACTTTACTTACTCTTTCACTTTTAATATACTTTGCTTGTATGACTCACTGAAACCACCACTGTGGATATAGAGAATCTTACAGTAAAAAAGGACTTCAAAAATCATCTCTTTCAAACCTCCATTTATAAAAAAAGAAAATATCAAAACTGTTTTCAAGACGTTAAGACATTCAGGCACACACCAGGGAAAGGGGCATAGGTATCCAGCTGCTTAACGCCTTCCTCCAGCAAACTAAGAGCAAGCTCCAACGTTGGTGACTCATTCAGAAGATGATACATCAGACTAAATCCTGGTGGTTTGTAGGCTATGATTTCTTCTCCTAAATAGAACATAACACAGTCCAGGAGATGGTCAGTTAGTATTTTTGTCATACCCTTGATTTATATGAAATATATGAGACTTGTAAATTAAATGGCATCTAAACGGGCTACTTTCAATTTAGAGACAATGGCACAAACTGTACACAGTGGTAATTCCCAAAGGGCTGATTTGCTCATAGTAGTTAGTTACCTATGTTAACTCCTTAAAGGATCTATAACGAGGTGTTCTTTCTTTCATTCAGCAAAATTCAGCAAAATTTTACTTTATTTTCTCTTGCTCAGAACAATTAAAATAACTAAGACAATGTAACAAAAAAAGATTATATCCCAACTTAATTCATTAACTTAGAAATAATCTGTATCTTATATATATAAGTTGTAAATAGCTTTATCAATAGTTAACAGCATACTTGGAAGTGATAAATTACCTTGTAATTCCACAAACTGGTCTACAAAATCTTCAAGTTGAGGCTCATAATCTCTGAGCAATTTATAAAACACTTCCAAAACAACCTCAGCAACTTCCCACTATAGAAAGAGACAAATATTACAGTAATGATAAAACAGTCCAAGGTGACGGCCTTATTAAGCTTTTCATTCCTCCCACTTTTCTCCAGAACATGACTGAAGTCCCTTCTCCAAAGTGTCAAATATTTCATATTTTCTCTAAAATTCTCAGGTTGTAAAGGGGCCGAGAAATCATCTAACCGCCCTTATATCACAAAGAAAGCTAATGAAGCTCAGAGCATGAATAACTTCCCCAAACCATAAAGCTTGGTAGCAAACATGCTGGAAATTAAGCCCTAGACTTCTATTCCCAGACCAGTATTCTATCTTATATGACTCTAGCCAAACAAGTTAAGAAGACTCAAGGGACGCTTGCCCCTAATGGACCCATTAATATCTTTTTGTTAAAAATAGTTTTTTAAGGGGCACCTGGGTGGCTCAGTTGGGTAAGTATCCAGCTTTGGCTCGGGTCATGATCTCATGGTCTGTGAGTTCGAGCTCCGCATCTGGCTCTGTGCTGACAGCTCAGAGCCTGGAGCCTGCTTCTGATTCTGTGTCTCCCTTTTTCTCTGCCCCTCCCCTGCTTGTGCTCTTTCTCTCTCTCTCTCTCAAAAATAAATGTTAAAAAAAATGATTTTTAAAAGGTATGTGACGAGGAAAAATATTTATGTCAAAGGAAAAACATGTATAATAGTATAGATGGCAAAATTAAAACTTTGTTCTAAAAACAATTCCACTGCAAAGAATTTATTAAGGCTGAGGCTGGTAACTGTAGTTAGGGTGGTTTTTTAAATTATTATTTTAAAATAATTTCCACTACACATAATTTTATCAAGGCTGAGTCTAGGAATTAGGATTATACAGTGATTTTTTTTATTATTATTTTTAAATTATCCACCTATCTATATTTTCCAAAAACTTCAAGATCACTTATTTAAGTAAAAAAGGCTTATTATCACCACATAATGAATGATTTTAGGATTTATAAATATATATATACTAGCTCTATGTCTATGTTATTTATCTCAATGTAAAGCACTGTTTTAGTGAGAAGCTAATGTTCTAAAATACAGTGACAGAAGTTAAACCTGAAGAAGACTTTCAAGTGAAAAGAATCCATGAAGTTGAGGAAAAATGCCTGAGGGTAAATATGTTGGGGTGGAACTGAAATCAGTGGTAACTAGGGGAAACAGCAGCACTGGAAGGGTCCAGATGCATGAATGAAAAACAGTAACCCCTGGCAAGAACATGGCTGACTCAAGATCTAAACCCTGAGGTCATAATGACCTTTTTAAGAAAAGGCAAATAAGGTACTTGAGACAAGTGTGAAAACGTATCAGAGCATTTTGCTGAAGAGGTCACAATTGCCAGCATCCATTATTCAGCATCTGAAATGCCTTTTATTAACAAGGCATGGCTGCTGTCATTGTTTTCATCCAATAAGGAAATAGATGTTAAAGAGGTAATTTTAGGACTTAAATGTACACCTCTCCCAGTATTTATTTATTTTTTTTTTTTTTAAATTTTTTTTTTTTTTCGCGTTTATTCATTTTGGGACGAGAGGGCAAATGAGCGGGGGAGGGGCAGAGAAGAGAAGAGAACACAGGCAGGCTCTGACCATCAACCAGAAACCCGGCAGGCACCGAACTCTCGAACCCTTGAATCGTGACCTAGCTGGTCGGGGCCAGCTTAACCGACTTCGCCACTAAACCGCCATCAATGTTATTTTAACTGAGAAGCAAAAATCATAAAACAACAGACAAAAAATGAGTTTCAGTTATTTGGGACTAAGTATTAGAAACACCAATGCCGAGCCTAGGTGGCGCCGGTCGGTTGGTTGGCGTCCGACCAGCCAGATCCCGCGATCTCGCCCAGTCTGTGATTCGAGCCCGCGTCGGGCTCTCTGGGCTGATAGCTCAGAGCCACCAGACTATTCGATTCTGTGTCTCCTCCCTCTCTCTCTGCCCCTCCCCCCCCCCCGTGCTCACCATATATAATAAAAATAAATAAATGTTGAAAAAAAAAATTAAAAAAAAAAAAAAAAAGAAAAACTGTGTCCAATGAAAGGGTAATAATGAATACGTACACCATGCTACATACAAGTAATGATTATGCAATCAATGAAGAGATGGTTTCAAAAGAATCTTTATTCAGCATGAAAAAGTGTTCATGTTATTTTTGTATTTGAGTATTGAAAGAGATACAAACGAATGCTAACTATCTCAATTTAAGTGCGGCGCTTTGGTAGTAGTAGTAGTAGTAGTAGTGATATTATTATTATTGTTATTGTGGATATACGTATATATGGATATACGTATATATGATATACGTATATATGGATATACGTATATGGATATATATATATATGAAGAAGGATACGTTATCCTTCCTTTGGCAACAGGATTATGGATAATATAATTTCTTCTTACATTTTTCTATAGTTTCCTAATTGTCCCAAATTAGCACAAAATTATTTTTATAATCACTAATATAACAACAAATAAACCCAACAGGTTCAAAAATAGCAAACTATAAAGTAGAAATGTCCCTACAAGATACGTCCAAGCGTATTCTGCGAGGCAATAAACATTATAGACTAAGTGAATTACGTCAGAACCTGAAAGGGTCTCTTACATAGCTTAGTGGTTATGAGCTTGAATCTGGAATCAGAGTCCTAGGTTCAAATCTTGGTTCTGGACCTTAGGCAAGTTCCTTAACCTTGCTAAGCATCCATCTGTAAAATGGGAATGTTCACAGTACCTGCCTCACAGTAATAATGGACTTACGTAAGATAATATATACAGTAAGTTCAGTTGCGAGTGTGTCGCAACCAGAGGAAATACGTATGTAAATGTCAGTGCTCCCTCAGCCTCCATCCCTGGCAAACATAACTGACAGATATACGTCTTCCTATCATGACAAGGCTCCATAATCCAGAAGTGCTACTAATCAAGAGAAATTGGTGTGCAAGTTTCAACTTATCTCAATCTCTAAACTAAATCACCTCAATAAAGGATGATATGTTTCCAACTGACAAAGGTGTGACATTTTTGGTTCAATTTTGGTCAAAATGTGTTCAGTTAAGGATCTGAGTAACTATGAATTTGTATCAATTGAATTACCGTCACTAAAAAGTCAGTGCTTTGGTTTTAGTGCCCAAATTCATTTTTTTTAATGCACATAAACTAATCAGATCACGGACATCTCTGTGTTAAAACTATGAATTTTACTGATTGCCAAAAGCTAAAATGAATTTACAGCATCTCATACCTTTAATAAGAGAAAAAGCAGCAATAAACGAGTAAGGAGAAAATAGGTTTTCTCCGTATATTACCTTTTCAGCTGCTCTCCGGTAAGCTCTTGTGCGGAATCGGAGAAACACAGAATCTCTGAGGAACTGCAAATAAGGGTCAAAGCCAGGGGGCCTCAGGCCAGCACCTAAATTAGAAGGAAATGAGCTCTCCACCAGGGTACTAATAAGCTGGCAAAAGGCCCGAGTCAACGGGTATTCTTCACACCGGGATTCTATTTCATTTAGTTCAACCTTCCAAAAGAAAAAATAAAGAAAATTTAGTAATATGAAACCATCAGCTATAAAGTACACAACATTTTGCAGACATTGACTCACTAGTATTGAGCTAGTCATCATAATTATCATCACACCAAAAGATACGTTATCTCACCATTTTTCATTTAGAGGAAAAGACACCAAAGTATCATATAAATTGAATTAATCAGATGGAAGAATTTCAAATTCCCATGTATTGTTCCCAGGTGTGAATTAAAAATAGAAATCTTCTATGCTTCTTTTTGAAAAAGAGAGGGGGAGTGTAGAGAGAGAAGCAAAGAAACTAAAACAAGTAAATTCTCACTTCAGGTTGACCCAAATAATCCAATTAAACTGGGTTCAATGCAAACTTTCAGTTTGGGTGGCTGCCGTAGAACATCCTTTCCCAACTCTGAAACCTGAAGTATTTTGCTTCCTCTCAGGAAAAATGTCATGTCCATTTCAACACCGACCAGACAACACTTCAAATGAAAACATATTAAACTTGAAAATTATAAGGAACCTCACAGGGTATAAGAATACTTTTTGTTAACTTTCATCATGTGAATGTACGAGTAGAGCATTTAAACTCAAAGGAAAACTTTACCTCGATACCAATCGCTTGCCTCTGGCTTGGAACCCTTACGGTCTGCAGTATCTTAAAATAATAAGAATGAGATGTTAGAAGCATTCCCTACTCCTCAATGAAAAGCAGTGACTCTGTAATATAAACAGTCATATTCACACCCACAGGTGTGTGTATCTTATGATGCTAATCACAGAGGACAATTGAGAAGTCTCTGATGGACTTTCATCAGCAACTGTGCAGGGTTCAGGTAGAAGCTCCAATTATTTGGGCTTCAGAAAACTGATGGTTTCTAAGTGCACATGAGATGTATTTTCAGCAAATTTCCTGAGATATTCCAGGAATGAATCTTAAGAGGATTTATGGGACAAAAATCTCACCAGTGTTCAAGACCAGCCCTACTATTAGCACCAGAAAACCAATAATTAAATTTGTCAAGAACAGGTTTGAACAGGTTTCTTATGTGGGCAAAAGTTTTGAGTTTAAGCTGTTCCGACCTGACCTTGCTAGGAACATAGAGCAGTATATGGTATAGTTAATTACGCTTAATGTCATGTTACTTGACATTCTTACAAGTTGAAAATATACTATCAGGCAGCAGCCTTTAAAAAGAAGTCTTGTTCTAAGGATAGAAATGTCTAAACCCACTCATATTGCATTTTCATTATAAAGGAGCAGTATAAGCACTTAGGACATGAAGTACTGACACACTTTTAAATGCAAAAATGAAGCATTAATACTAAACCAAAAGTGACTCAGCCTCTCGGTTCATACCAGCTCCCTTCATTACATCTTCAGGACACAGGTATCATTACATCTTCAGGACACAGGTTAGAAAATAACTAGAATATCTTACTGCTTCAAAACAAAGTTACAATCACCGGCACCTGTATGTTGTAGTGTTTTTTAGACAAACACATATTCCATCTCACCATTTTCCTAGAGTTATTTCTGTAAAGCACATCATTAGTCTCCTTTTTAAATTTAGCATATACATTGAATAACTACACCTTCACAGAAAAATGCCAATACGCTTTACGTCTAAAGAAAGTTGAAAGAGAGATTCTTCATTCTTCTCGTGTGGGACAGGAGGACACAGACGAAGCAAAAAAGAAAAGCGGATGTTCCCCACATTTAATGAGTACAAATAATGCCTGAAGGCTCTTATCCTCCTGGTCTCAAAGACGAGTTGAGGAATTCTGTCCATTTATTAATTTCTCACAGACACTGAAAAACAAAGTCTTAAGAGAAGAACCCATCTCCAGTAACCTAGTGAAGCTGTCAACTGATCCAAGAGAAAAACCCAAGGTGGCTCGTTTCTGATGCTATGCTCAGTACTATAGTCATAACTGTCTAACTGGGAAGGTCATGGTATACTGTGAGTTGCGAACTGGATGCTCTTGCTTCTGCCACAGTATCAAGCCTCACTTTCCAAACTGTAATAAATAAGAGAGTTTGTAATACTACCTGAGTGTATTCCAACGACTGCCAGAGGGAAGCAGCAATTTCAGGAGATTTTCCAAAAGCTGCAAGGGTCTTGAGCAGCTCTGCTTTTAGAACAGGGGGAATGCTGCATTGCAGGAGTCCCAGGATCACCACAACCGGGGTCCACTGAGGATGCTCACAGAGTGCCAGACGAGCATTTTCACTCTGGGAATTGAACACAAAAAGAACAAGGACTTTCCATTTTTTAAAGCTAAGAAAAATGACCAGCAATAATCTAAACTGCTAGCACTTATACCGAGTATTCAAAGCCCTAATACATACTAAAACAAAGAGAAGCTTATGGCTTATGTGTGAAGTCTATCAGTGGATCATATCAGATTACTGCTCAGTCAATGTAAAGAAGAGGGGAGAAACAGCCTTTTACAATTCCTTTTATAGCTCTAAGCGTGGAAAATAATACATATGAGATAAATGGTCGGCCAGGGTCACATAAATCTTAACCTAAGCACTGTCAATCCTGCCTGAAACAATGTAATATATTTTTTACTATATGAATAAATGTCATTTCAATTTTTGAGAAAAAAATGAAGATATATATGGTATCAAATACCATTCCGTTTTAATTCAATAAGAAGTAATTACTATCTTCATGTTTTAATGTTTAATAATGTTAATCCTGGAAAAACTAAAAGGCCCTATTCCTATCTTCAAGACAGAATGTCTACACAACTTTGCTCTAGGGTATAAGAGAAACAAGTAGAAGAGATTTCTGAGCAGAGAAATTATATAATGAAACTAATGTTTCTTATGAAGACTAATTTGGGGGGCTCCTGGGTGGTCCAGTTGGTTAAGCATCTGACTCTTGATTCTGGCTCAGGTCATGGTCCCCCCGGTTGTTGAGACTGAGTCCCGAGTCAGGCTCTACACTAGCAGCACAGAGCCTACTTGGGATTTTCTCTCTCTCTCTTTCTCTCTCTCTCTCCTCTCTTCCTCCCGCCACCCCGCCCATCCCCTGTTTGCACATGCTCTCTCTCTCTCAACATAAATAAACATTTTAAAAAAATTTAAAGACTAATTTGGCAGTAGCAGGTGAGATGGTTTGGTGTAAGGAGAGAATAAAAGAGTAATTCAGTAAATAACTTTTCTTTTTCATTAAAAATATTCTTGGGGTGCCTGGGTGGGTCAGTCAGTTAAGTGTCACACTTCGGCTCAGGTCATGATCTCATGGTAAGTGAGTTCAAACCCTGTGTCCGCCTCTGTGCTGATGGCTCAGAGCCTGGAGCCTGCTTCAGATTCTGTGTCTCCCTCTCTCTGCCCCTCCCCCCACTCTGTGTCTCTCTCTCTCTCTCTCTCAAAAATGAATAAACATTAAAAATAATGATAATAAAAAATTTCTTGGGGCAGGGCACCTAGGTAGCTCAGTTGGTTGAGTGTCTGACTCTTGATTTTGGCGCAAGTCATGACCTCATGGTCATATGAGGATCATCAGTACTACAATGGTGATTGCTGAGCATGGAGCCTGCTTAAGATTTTCTCTCTCTCTCTCTCTCTCTCTCTCTCTCTCTCTCTCCCCCCTCCGTCCCCTCTCCCCTGCTCTCTCTTTCTCTCAAACTAAAAATTTTTTAAAGTAAAAATTGAAAAAAAATTCTTGGGGCACCTGCGTGGCTCAGTCGGTTGAATGTCCAACTGTTGATATAGCTCAGGTCAAGAACCTAGGGTCATGGGATTGAGCCCCACATCAGGCTTTGTGCTCAGTGTGGAGCCTGCTTAATATTCTCTCAATGTCTCTGTCTCTGTCTCTCTCCCCTTCTGCCCCCTCCCCTGCTTGCGCTTTCTAAAATTAAAAAAAAAAAAATTTTTTTTAAATATTCTTTACGCATAGATACACACCAACAAATATCTACGCTAGGGAACCTTCTAGAAGGATGTGAATCCAAACACTGATTCTTATTTGCCCTTCTATTTTCTTTCAGGCACATGCTATTTATTGTTTTCACATTAGCTGACGGCAATAAGTAGAGCTACCGTCACATCCTCTGAAGGTAAAGAAACACAGAACCTAAAAACAGAATTCTGTGTGCAAAACTCATCACTTATAAACTTCAAGCATTTCACAAATGTCTGGGATCCTCTTAAAATGCCCCCGTGCCAGAAAACAAATAAAATTACACTCTCACATACTGTGGATGATAATTACCCAAGTAATGATGGTGGATGTGAGCTGTAAAAAGGCAATGAGTCCATCCTGCTCCTTCTGGGTGATGCCACGTGAAGGAAGGTGACGGTACTGGACACTATCTGCACTTGGAAGATCCTTCCGGAGATGCTCATGGTAAAGCATTAAGGAGTGAAAGAAATGTTCCCAGGAAACAGGACTGCCACCTGTTCCCTGAATATTTTCAACTGTAAAGAAAGACAGCATAAAATTTTCTTTCAAAAATGTCTATGCATTTGCTTGGAAATGGAGGGAGAAAATAAACTGAAAACAATAAACTGTGCCTTTATCCTAGATATAAGCAGAGTATGTTGTCTTGTCTAGAATAAGCAGTGTGTTGAAAATGGGGTAGAATCCATCTGTGAGCTGAGTCTCTGGATTGATTTTTCTTCAGGGCTAAGAACAGGTAGTACCCAGGCACATGCAAAGGTAAATTACTTGGATGTCAGTTACCTATTTTAAATCCATAAGAGTTCTCTGTGTTGTCCTGTGACTACACGGGGCTCCTTTCCCCAACAGCTAATTCCCAAACGTGAGCTTAAATTCCCACAGACAGAGATAAGGACAGTCTAGATTTGTAATTTACACTACTCCACTACATACCAAGCACAGGACAAGATAAGCAGGCCTTGACAGAGTAGCCAAAACACTGGCCTTGGAGCTAGGCAGAGCTCAATTCCAATCATGGGACCTACCAAGCAGATGTTTAATAACTATTTCTTTCTCTTCTCTTTTCCAGTGTTTCAATTTAACCAGACTCAAGTCTGAAAATTAAGTGAGGAAATTGGGAGAGGGTTGACAGAGAAACTGTAAGAAGGGAAATTTAGAAAACAAGTACTTATGAATTAAAAAAAACCAAAATCATATGGCAAGGGTATATAGTATACGTTGAATACCAGATGTGTTCTTGAAGTTTTTATATATTAATTCTGATTTCTTAAACTGAATTGTATTTAACAAAGTCAATGGTAAAACTCCCCAACCTATGAGACCATAATTAAGGCATCACTATGCATAAAGCTCCCAAGGTACTTCTTTCCCATTATTATAAAAATAATTTATACACCTAGTAAAACTTAGTACAAGTAACCAATATTCTTTAACAGGCAGGGGAATAGTGAGTTCAAGAATGTCATGGGGCACCTGGGTGGTTCAGCTGGTTAAGCGTCCAACTCTTAATTTTGGCTCAGGTCATGATCTCACAGTTCGTGAGATTGAGCTCCATGTCAGGCTCCATGCTCACAGCACAGAGCCTGCTTGGGAGTCTCTCTCTGACCCTCCCCCGCTCATTCTCTCTCAAAAAACCCAAACAAAACAATGTCACAACAAACTTAGATAACATCCAAGTTTCTCTTACCGTGACTACTACCATTGACTTTAAGCAGGCTGAAACAGTAGTGGGCGCACTGGGGCCCATTGGCTAATCCTTGGAGCATTTTCAAATAAGGAATGTAAATCGTTGGAGGCAACAGGTCACCCATTTGCCTAACAAACTTTGACAAGACGACCTGAATTAGGGAAAAATCAATAGTTTACATAGCATGGACTAACTAGTGAAGACTACATATGAACTAAAACTAAGTGCACTGATCTAATGCCTCAAAGATAAAATAATTTGGTATTCTACTTATGAAAAATTATTTTTTCAAGATTGTCACTAGCAACTTAATCAATTATAGAATTTTCTGTGAACAAAAAGCACATTTGTTTCAAAACATCTCAATGCCACAGAACATAAGGCTACTCACATTTTAAATATGTAAAACAATCGAAGAAATTTACTCCTCTAAAATAAACCAGCAAAGTCAAATATACTTGGCACCCACGGTTCCTGAATCCCAGTCAAATTTAGTATGAAGACCTAGGAACCTGAAAGAATTTTGGAGGGTAGCCTAAAAATACTGTTTTCTGTTCTGGCTAATACCACATTCCCACATTCCTGTTCTGTAAATCCACTTCTTAGTTTTCCCTTTTATCTTTGCTTATTCCTTAAATCTATTAACAAAAGTGCTTTTCAGACACTCAGTCTCACTGGTTGGATTTCAGAACTGAAAATGTTACTGGTCTCTGGAAGTTATTGTTAAATCTATTAGAACAGTGATTTTTCTAATTATGGAGAAAATTATCCTTATTTTTAAGAGACAGTCACTTATCCAGTAAAAGGTGAAATGTCATGCTGTCTATAAGTTACTTTCATGTACTCCAGAAAAATAAAAGTAGTAAAAATAACAGCAGTGGACGAAGCAAACGAGGCAAATGTTAGCAGCTGTTAAATTAAGATGTTGGGTGTTCACTATAATTATTCTCTCTTCCATGTTTCAAATATTTCATAATATAAGGATTTTTTTTAATCTTCAAAAATTTTAATCACTCCTTCTCCAAGACATTTTTGTAAATGGGGAGAAAAGTGAAACAATAAATGTAACAACTGCAGTAAAAAGAAAAGGTGTGTGATCTCAGCCTCTAGCATAACTAAAAATTACTCAACGTGAAAGACTCCAGAATAGGAAATCCCAAAAGATGAAGATCGATACTGCAATCCATCTTATTTGCTACTGCGTATCATACTTTAGTTAATATAGGACAGAAAATGGACTTTTTCCTACATTTTTTACTGATTCATTTTGTCATCAATTCTAACTTCTCAGCCTTTCCTTTTAGTACCTACACCTATCCTAACCTCCCCAACTTGTTAAGAATGGTGTATATTGGGTTATTGTCATGCCTATTGGGGACAAACTAATAAATAAATACCAGTAACATTCAAGCAAGTGACACACAGAAAGACTAGACACCTGTCTATGATTGGACACATAGCTAATATGTTACCTAAGACTGACTACATAAACTCCAAAATGATCAGAACTTAAATTTAACACTTTCAAATTTCAAAAAGGAAAAAAGTGCAAATTTCTAAATGTTACACAAGTAGTCATTTGTGTTAACAGCAATTAGGAATTAACATTTCTTCACGGTTCAAGACTCCCACTTACACCAAGGCAGAAAAACAGAAAAACTAAGAGCTTACCTGGCGTTGAGGGGGTCGCTGATGAGCCACCCCAAGGTAAGAACCTATGATAGTGGAAGTCTGAAGAGGCTCTGAGGGACACCAATATTCCAGAGCAAGCTCCAGATTAAAAGGGTTCTTTTTATATAGCTCACCAATCTGCAAAGAATAAGCAGACACTGGGTGAAAATGCCTCTAACTCAGAAATCACCTTGAAATGAAAATTTACATTTTTATGGAACTCAATTATTTAAGATCTTACAGCTGAACCTTTCCAAAGTTAGGGAGTAAATAATGGAAGGAGGGAGAGATGACCATGCATCCAGTGTAATGGCTTACCAAGAGCATTAAGTGTTCCAGATCCCTTCTAAGTGAAATGGGAGGTTCATTACCCATCTGCATACTCATGTGAATCATTCGAGCATCTTCATCTGCCCGATTCCTCAACTGTTTTACCTATTAAATGCATTGCATACAGTTTAATAGGGAAATTTATTATATGGGTTAATAATACTGAAAACAGGAAACCAGCCAACTGTCTAAAAGTGATTACACAAGAGAAAACCTGTTATAACGTCTATTCCACTTTAATGACATAACAAAATATACTAGGAATTTTAGTATGATATCACCATCCATAATTTATATCTTAAAACTTCAATGCATTTTCCACTACAGAGAAAGTGAGTTTAACAACAGTGTTTCTGAACAGGAACATTACTACATTTTAGACAGGACATTTCTTCACTGGGCTGGATCATCCTGACCACTGCAGCACAGTTTAGCACCCCTGAGCTACCTCCTGGCTACCAACAACTCCACCACAGATATTATAACAAGCAACACTGGTGCCATTCATTTCCCCAGCATGCTCTGAACGCTATTATTGCCCTGGCTGAGAACCATTACCTTATAAACATTCATGTGAACTGGGGCGCCTGGGTGGCTCAGTCGGTTGAGCATCCGACTTCGGCTCAGGTCATGAGCTCACAGCTCTTGAGGTCGAGCCCGGCATCGAGCTCTGTGCTGACAGCTCAGAGCCTGGAGCCGGCTTTGGATTTTGTGTCTCCCTCTCTCTCTGCCCCTCCCCTGCTCATGCTTGCTCGCATGCTCTCTCTCTCTGTCCCAAAAATAAGTAAACGTTAAATAAAAAAATTTTTTAATAAAATAAAAGCGGGGGGGGGGGGCGCCTGGGTGGCTCAGTCAGTTAAGCGTCCTACTTTGGCTCAGGTCACGATCTCAGAGTTCATGGGTTTGAGGCCATTGGGCTCTGGACTGGCAGCTGGGAGCCTGGAGCCTGTTTCAGATTCTGTGTCTCCCTCTCTCTCTGCCCCTTCCCAACTTGTTCTTTCTCTCTATCAAAAATAAATAAACATTAAAAAACAAAAAGCTAGACAAACCCACAATTACAGGTGAGGATTTCAACACTCCTCTCTCATTATTTTTTAATATTTAGTTATTTTTGAGAGAGAGAGAGCACAAGCAGGGGAGGGGCAGAGAGAGAGGGAGACACAGAATCCAAAGCAGGTTCCAGGCTCCAAGCTGTCAGCAAGAGCCCAATGCAGCACTTGAACTCACAAGCTAGGAGATCATGAGTTGAGCTGAAGTCAGAAGCCCAACCAACTGAGCCACCCAGGCGCCTCCCTCTCTCATTATTCAATAGAACGAGTATGTGAAATTAGTAAGGACGTCGAAGACTTAAACACTATTAGCAACTTTACCTAACTGGCATTTACAGAATACTCCATATAACAGCAACAGAATATACATTCCTTTCATGTGCACACAGGACATTTTCCAAGTTGACCATATTCTCAAACATAAAACAAACCTCAGCAAATTTAAGATAACTGAAATCCTATAAAGTATGTTCTCTGACCACAACTAAAATAACCTAGAAACCAGTTGCAGAGACACCTAGAAGCTCCCAAATATTTGGAAATTAAACAATGCCACTTCTAAATAACTCATCGATCAAAGAAGCCTCAAGGAAAATTACAATACATATTAAATTGAACAAAAAAGAAAGCAACATATCAAAATTTATGTGACACAGCCTAAAGCAGTAATTAAGAGATAAGTGTTCTAGAGAAACTGAAATGAGAAGCGAAAATTAAACCCAAAGCAATAGGGAGAAAAAAATAAAGAGCAGAAATCAATGATAGCAAAACAAAGTAAAAGAAAATCAAGGAGGGGCGTCTGGGTGGCTCAAGTGGGTTAAGCGTCCGACCCTTGATTTCAGCTCAGGTCATGATCTCATAGTTCGTGAGTTCGAGCCCCACATTGGGCTCTGTGCTGACAGCACAGGATCCTCTCTCCTTCTCTCTCTGTCCCTCCCTCCCCGTCTCAATAATAAATAATAAAACATTAAAAAAAAAAAAAGAAAAGAAAAGAAAATCAATGAGGCCAAAAGGTGGTTCTTTGGAAAGATCAATAAAATTGATAAGCCTCTAGCCAGGCTAATTAAGAAACAAAAAGGGAAGATACAAACTATCAAACTTAAGAATAAGAAAGGAAACATCATTACAGAACCTATATACATGAACAGTATAATAAAGGAGTATTAGGAATAACTTTAAAGTCAATCAATCTGAACGAAAAGGACAAATTCACTGACAGATACAAACCAGTTTGTTCAAGAAGAGACAGATAACCTAAATACTCCTGTATCAAAAAAAACCCTCCAGTATCCCCAATTGTGTGAATTGTTTACCCTATTCAAACCACTGATTATCTTTCCATAATCAAAGTCCCATCTGGACTACTGATTAGGAAAAACTTTAAGTCTTAAGCTTTCTAAGGCTTCATTTCTACAAATGTAAAATGAAAGGATTAGCAGGCTTCTTCCTATTCCAAAATTCTGTGGTGTTAATCTATCAAGTCCTCCAAGGTTACTGAGGGTTCAGGTTATCTGTTAAAGTATTCCTTGAATGGGGCACCTGGGTAGCACAGTCGGTCAAACATCCAGAGTCTTGATTTCAGCTCAGGTCATGATCTAACAGTTCATGAGATTGAGCCCCATGTCAGGCTTGGGATCCTCTATCTCCCTCTCTCTCTGTCCATCCCCTGCTCATGCATACACGTGCTCCCTCCCTCTCTCTCTCTCTCAAAATAAATAAACTTAAAAAACGTTCTTCCAAGTATTCCTTGACTATTCTAGTCCTAAGGGAGCTATCCTTAGCCTATATAAATTCATAGTAGTTTACTATCTATACCTCTCATTTACCTACTTTTACTACCTAATCTCTCCAACTAGATTCTAAATTCTTTGCTGATAACGAATGAGTCTCCTACTTATTGGTCTTCTTCACAACACCTAGAATACATAGTACCTGGCACACAGAAGAAACTCAACAAACACTTAATTCGTTAAATAATGAATAAGCACTGCACTCCTGGTTTGTTGCCATTTGAGGTACCTTTTCCATTTGCCTTATGTGTTTCAGGAGGTATGGTACCAAAACCACACAATATTACAAATGTAGGTACTCTGGGGTGCTTTTTTATGTTTTATTTTATTTATTTATTTTAACATTTGTTTATTTATTTTGAGAAACAGAGAGAGCTCAAGCAGGGGAGGGGCAGAGAGAGAGGGAGACAGAGAATCCCAAGCAGGTTCTGCGCTGCCAGCATGGAGCCCAACACGGGGTGTGAACCCACGAACTGTGAGATCATGACCTTAGCTGAAGGCAAGAGTCAGACGCTTAACCAAATGAGCCACCCAAGAGGCCCTGGGGTGCTTTTTAAAATACACACATAAAAAGTGAATTCATAGGGCTTTACTCCCTCATTTACTTCCTGCCCCCACTTTGATGGCTTTCTTGGCACAACACTGCACAAAACACATACACTCTCAAGAAACCATCTGACATGGCTCATAGTTATAGATCATACTGATAGCTTGAATTCTTTATTCAAAAGTAGCCTTTGCATTACTTGTAAGCAAGCAGAAGCCCATTTATACACTAATTAAGAGTCTAAACAATTATCTATAAAACTGGAAATTTTCCACTATGGCTCTTCCAAATTATATGTAAAAATATATCAATAAGGCAAACCTAAGCACTGATCCCTGGGATAGCATGGTATTAATACTTTTCTACCCATAGTGATTTAACTATTACTTTCTCCTTATTAACTATTCTCAGTGTCAAATATATTGTTCTTTTAAGCTTATTCTCAGTTAACAGGTCTTATTTCATTTTCATGAATTACTAATTCAAAAGCTGTAACACAACTATTGTCAAATTACGGTCTGTAGTAAAATATTTTACTAGTTTCTAAAACATAAAGTTAGCTAATTGATCGGTTCTATTATTTCATAAAAATCTTCTACTACTTTTTACTCATCCTATATTATTACACATACCTTCATTGGCATAAGTGCAAGGAAATCTGTGATGAGATTATGGATTCTACGAATATAAAATTCCTCCTGATAGAAGTTTTCTGACACCACCACGGATTCAGTGAGAAACAGGAAAACATTGTCAGCAATTGCAAGCTCTGCCATTGCTTCATCTGCTTCTGTGAATTCAGCCAGAGCTAGAAATATATTTTAAAAAACAGCACATGGAGAAAAAGTTATTAAACTAGACTATAGTATTTCATAATACTCTGCTGATGTTTCAAAATTCAGGTTATCTTCTCAACCTTCAAGCATGTCTATGTTAAAACTAAGACTGTACCCACTGTAACTGACTCACAAACTCAAAAGAGCTACTGAAAAAGTACATTAGAAAACCATGGGGCACCTGGGTGGCTCAGTCAGTTGAGCGTCTGACTTTGGCTCAGGTCATGATCTCGCAGTTTGTGACTTCAGGCCCCACATCGGGCTCTGTGCTGCCAGCTCAGAGCCTGGAGCCTGGCCGGCTTTGGATTCTGTGTCTCCCTCTCTCTCTGCCCCTCCCCTGCTCATGCTCTGTCTTTGTCTTTCAAAAATGAATAAACACACACAAAAAAATTTTTTTAATAATGAAAGAAAGAAAGAAAGAAAGAAAGAAAGAAAGAAAGAAAGAAAGAAAGAAAAAGAAAGAAAGAAAGAAAGAAAACCATGTACTCCTATTGACAATAGCCAAAGTACGGAAAGAGCCCAAATGTCCACGGACTCATGAATGGATAAAGAAGATATAGTGTGTATATATGTATATGTGCGTATACACACACACACACACACACACACACACAATGTTGTATATGCATGTGTGTGTGTATATATATTGTAAAAACACACACACACAAACAGAATTATTACTTGGTGATCAAAAAGACTGAAATCTTGCCATTTGCAACAATGTGAATGGAACTAGAGTGTATTATGCTAAGTGAAGTAAGTCATTGAAAGACAAAATACCATGATTTCACTCATATGTGTAGTTTAAAAAACAAAACAGATAATCATAGGGGAAGGGAAGTGAAAATAAGATAAAAAATGAGAGGGAGACAAGCCATAAGAGACTCTTAAAATACAGAGAACAAATGGAGGGTCGCTGGAGGGGGCGTTGGGTCAGGGGATGGGCTAAATGGGTGATAGGGATTAAGGAGGGCACTTGGGATGAGCAATGGGCATTCAAAGTACTAAACTCTATCCCAGAAATCATTATTACACTATATGTTAACCTGGATTTAAATGATAAACCAACCTTGAATTCCTGTAAGAAACAACACTTGGGAGAAAGAAGAAGAAAAAGAAAAAGAAAACCATGTGCTCTTCTCAGTAACATGAGTGATAAATAATTTCTTCAGAGATACATGATGTAATACTGAAATAATCAGGGAATTATTATCAAAATATTAACAAACTGATGCTTTAATCTCAATGAAATGAACTAGATCATTCAGAAAAAGTCTTCACAACTAATAAGACCAAAACCTGAACATGACCACCTAAGTAACTCTTCTAATTTGGTAACCAAGTAGCAAAACTTAAAAACTAAACCTTAACCTAAAGACAAACTGGTCTACTTGTAACTTTTTTTAGCTTTTTATTTGAAAAACTTCAAACAGGTATCTATCAATATATAGACCAATATAATGAAAACCACACACCCATCATCTAGCTTCGATATTATCTATCCATTTACAGTTAATTTTATCTCCTCTAGATCTCCATGCGTTTCCAAATTAGATGAAAGCAAATGCCAGACTATTCAATATTTCACTCATAAGTATTTCAGTATACAACTCAAAAAGATTCTTTAAAAACAAAAGAAAAATAAGTGATACATACAAATACCATTATATCTCAATATCATTAAATCTTCAAAAAATTCCTATCAAATATCCACAAAGTAATCAAATTTACAACCGTCCCATGAATGTTATAAAAGATATTAGTTTGGATTTTTGCTTTTTGTCTTTTGTGCAATCTGTTTGCTTGAATCAGGATCCAAATAAGATCTACAGATTGCGTTCGAGTGATACATCTGTAGTGGGCTCCTCCTGTATCTTTTCAATTTTTCCCTTGCCCTTATCTGCAGTAGAAACTAGACCTTTATCCTGTAGAGTTTCCACAATGGTTTGACAACCATCCCAGTGGTACAGTTAACATATTCCTCTGTCCTCTGTTTATATTAAAAGTTGGCAGTTCGATCTACAGAGACTTTACTTATGTTCAATTTTTTGGTAAAATATGTCATAGGTACCGTTATGTCCTCAAGAAATAGATTGCTATTTACTTCTTTTAAATGTACATATAAATTGCTAGGTAACCTTGTGGTAATCCGGCTTTGGATAAGAACTGCTACATAGTTTATTCTGCTTGAGCATCATACAAATCAAATACATAGTGCGCTACTCAAAGTACATTTTCTTTTTCCTTTTCTTTAAGAAAGAGAGAGTGCGAGCAGGGGAGGGACAGAGAGAGAGAAGAGAATCTTAAGCAGGTTCTGTGCTGTCGGCACATAGCCTGATGTGGGGCTCGAACTCACAAAACTGTGAGATCATGACCTGAGCCAAAATCAAGTCAGACACTCAACTGACTGAGCAACCCAGGTATCCCTCAAAGTACCACCAAGTTTCATTGCCTTGGAAGGGGTCAGAAACAGATAGAAGCCAAGAGCCTCAACCAGAGGAAAATAATGAGCTTTTATGTTTTATTTTGCATTTTGAAATAAAGCCTACCCATACCATACAAACTCCTTGAGAACAAAATAGTTGTTTTTATTTTGACTAATAATACTTAAGATTATAAATTAAATATTAATAATAATTATTAATTACAAACCTTCACTTGAATTCAGAAATACTGGAATTAAAACTGCATGATGATCAATTCAAGAACTATTTCTTGAAGACTAGGTAATAAAGCAGCATTAATATCTAAATTCTAGCACTTTTTTAAAACAAATTTTTTTTTTTAATGTTTATTTATTTTTTAGAGAGACAGAGACAGGATGCGAGTCGGTTAGGGGCAGAGAGAGAGAAAGACACAGAATCTGAAGCAGGCTCCAGGCTCTGAGCTGTCAGTACAGAGCCCGACGCGGGGCTCAAACCCACGAGCCGTGAGATCATGACCCGAGCCGAAGTCGGACGCTCAACAGACTGACCCACCCAGGTGCCCCTGAATTCTAGCACTTTTTAAAATTCAAATTTCAGAAACTTTTTTAGTTTAAAAATGTTTAATTATAGTACCCCTAATTATCAAACTTATAAAAAAATATAAACATGTAAAACTAAAGAGAATAAGTAGCTAAAGATTTGGGACTCGAAACTAGGTATGGAATCCTAAGCCTATTCTCATCAATAGCAAACTGTAACACATTCTTCTGTACCCTTCCAGATGAGGGCAAGAGTACAGTAAATCACAATATATGAAGTTAAGTACCACATACCCACTTAAAAGTTTAAAGGATAATTTTATGCCAGACAAGTATTAAAATAAGACTTGCAAATGACTAAGAGGTATAGTTCAGAAATAGAAGTTATGCACGAATATGAATGTCTAATTAGCCATGAATTAGCTTTAATATAAAAAATACTTGGCCGGCGCGCCTGGGTGGCTCAGTCAGTTAAGCACCTGACTTCGGCTCGGGTCATGATCTCGCAGTCTGTGAGTTCGGGCCCCACGTCAGGCTCTGTGCTGACAGCTCACAGCCTGGAGCCTCCTTCGGATTCTGTGTCTCCTTCTCTTTCTGACCCCACCCTTCCATGCTTTGTCTCTGTCTCTATCTCTCTCTCTCTCAAAAATGAATAAACATTAAAAAAAATTTTTGAAAAAAAATACTTGGCCAAAGAAAGACCCCTTAATACAAAAAAAAAAAAAAAAAAATGCTTTCTGCAGTCTCCTTGTGAACAGTAGGGCACTAGTGAACAAAACGTTCTAGATTCACATAATTGATAAGATACTAGAATCTGTTGACACTCCACAACTAGAAAACACTGATATGGATAATAAACCTTAATAAAATCTTTCCAGATCTACCATAAAAACAAGTGACAGTTCTTTGGGCTTCAAATTACAACAAAAACATAGTTCTCGTCCTGTTAAACCACTATAGTATGAGAATTACATGAATGTCAACAGCAGAACAGGATATGCTATAGTGGGTCATAGACTATTAAAGTCAGACTTCCACATCCATTCTTAGCTGATCCAAATATCTCCTTTCTAATGTATTTTCTTTTAAATAAATTTTTTTTTCAACGTTTTTATTTATTTTTGGGACAGAGAGAGACAGAGCATGAACGGGGGAGGGGCAGAGAGAGAGGGAGACACAGAATCGGAAACAGGCTCCAGGCTCCTAGCCATCAGCCCAGAGCCCGACACGGGGCTCGAACTCACGGACCGCGAGATCGTGACCTGGCTGAAGTCGGACGCCCAACCGACTGCGCCACCCAGGCGCCCCTGTATTTTCTTTTAAAATAATACTAGTTTTTAATTTGTGAAAAATTATTTTGTGAAACCAAGGAAGAAAACGTAAAAAAAAGAAATCATAAATTTTAATTTAAAAAATTATTGTGATACTGCCATTTCAAAATTTTACTTTTTTTTTTTTTTAATGTTTTATTTTTTATTTTTGAGAGAGAGACAAAGTATGAGTGGGGAGGGGCAGAGAGGGAGACAGAATCCGAAGCAGGCTCCAGGCTCTGAGCTGTCAGCACAGAGCCCAACGCGGGGCTTGAACTCACAAACTGTGAGATTGTGACCTAAGCCAAAGTCGGACGCTCAACTGACGGAGCCACCCAGGCGCCCCTCAAAATTTTACACTCTTAAGGGAAAAAAGAAACTAAAAGAGCATTGTCACTGGTTCCAAGAAAGGGAAACCATATTTCATAAAATTTCTTTTGAGAGACCAGGACAAAAAAAGTCTGTATTTTACCACATTCCAAAGCTTCATTTAATACAACTCCAGATATCTTCCTATGCTCATGCTTATATGTCAAAGATAACATACCACTCAAGTTGATACGTTCTTTCTCATAAGAGAGTCACCTACAATCAATTTACCTGTCACATCAGGTAGCTGAGATATTCCTCTCAGTGCCAATGCCCAGGCAAGTCGAACCGTGGCTTGCAGCCCAGGCAGTTTCCAAAGCTGTGAGTCTTGAAGGCGGGAATGAATTGTTGCAATGTATTGTCTTTCTGTCAATAGTGGAAGCTGATGAATCATATCTGAAAACACAAAAATAGACCACTATACCAACAAGTAGAGAAATCCTCACTTTTGATACATAGGAATGATGGCTAAAGATCAGGAAATCAGAGTTCAATGAATTATCAAAGAATTAGGACTAACCAAAAAATAGTGTTTGTGTTCGACAAACCAAAAAACACACTACCGTAAAAATTCTATACAAACTAATACTGAAAGAGGCAATTGACAATAATTCTAAATTTTAATTCTTTTTTCAATGGTTTTTTATAAGTATACTATAAAATTTTTTTAAAACAGTTAAAAAGCCAGTTTTTCTGCATATAAATTCTAAAATCAATGCAATTTAAAGATCAAAAAAGATAGAATTTGGGGTGCCTGGCTGGCTCGATCAGTAATGCAGGCAACTCTTGATCTCGGGATTATGAATTCGAGGCCCCTGTTGGGTGTAGAGATAACTTAAAAGTAAAATCTTTAAAAAAAAAAAAAAAATAGAATTTTACTACATAAATGCCTACATTAAAATATCAAGCAAAAACAGACCAAAACAAGAATTCAAATTGCAAACAAGCATCGACTGTGATTATAACAAATGAAATTGCTAAATAATAATTAAATGATTTTCTATTTATACTCTGGTATTTCAAACAAGCATAGGATTCTGAATAAATGTAAAATGGGAGGTTGTGAAATCGAGCCTCGAGTCAGGCTGCACGGGGGTGTGGAGCCTGCTTAAGATTCTCTCTCTCCCTCTTTCTCTGCCCCTCCTCTGCTCTCTCTCTCTCCAAGAAGTCTGGGAGGTTCAGTTGGTTCAGCGTCTGACTTTGGCCCAGGTCATGATCTCACAGTTCGTGAGTTCGAGCCCCACATCGGACTGGCTGTTGTCAGCACAGAGCCCGCTTTGGATCCTCTGTTCCCCTCTCTCTCTGCTCTTTCCCCACTTGTAAACTCTCTCTCAAAAACAATAAAAATTTTTTAAAACTCTAAAATGGGAAACACCACTGACACCTAAGACTTTATTTTACTTATTTTCTTGTCCTTCCTTTTGATGTCAGCGGTTCCCAATCTTTAATATTTATTTATTTTTTTAACGTTTATTTATTTTTCAGAGAGAGAGACAGAGTGCAAGCAGGGGAGGTGCACAGAGAGAGGGAGACACAGAATCTGAACCAAGGCTCCAGGCTCTGAGCTGTCAGCACAGAGCCCAACGTGGGGCTCGAACTCACGGACCCCAAGATCATGACCTGAGCTGCAGGCGGATGCTCAACCGACTGAGCCACCCAGGCGTACCATATTTCTTTTATTTTTTAATGTTTATTTTTGAGAAAGAGAGTGCACACACAGTGGGAGAGAGGTGGACAGAGGGTCTGAAGCGGGTTCTGTGCTGATAGCGGCTTCAGCGCAGCGAGCTTGATGTGGGGCTCAGACTCTCGGACTGCAAGATCATGACCTGAGCTGAAGTCAGATGCTCAACCGACTGAGCCACCCAGGTGCCCTAGTGGTTCCCAATCTTTAACCAAGAACACATTCTTTAATTTCCTGTAGTTTGAAAGTTTCTGTCTACTATTATACATGCACTAATAATTCACTTCTCCCATTTATTAATCAAACACATACAGAACGACCAACAGGAAATCACAATTAAAATGAGTTAATCATCAGCATCCTAAATTCATAAAATTAAAACCTACTACAAAAACCTTACATCCTAGCCTATGAAACTTTCCAGGCATTTCATTTCGCTGCTGCAAGTACCACTTACAAGGTTCCACGAACACAGCTTGCCCCCACTTAATTCTGTGCTTCATTTCATTCAATACAGGAAATCTGACCAATGCCTTAAGTGGCAGCGTTCCTATACAAGCGCAGGCACCACTCTTTTTGTGGCGCACAAAGCACCGTGTGACAATCTGACTGGAGGAAAGGAGTACTTATGCCTTCCATAAGCCTTCCCTAATGTCTAAGGATGGCCACCAAAGATGAGTGGAAAGGTCTATTCTCCCTACATACCTACCTATTGAAAGATGCCAACAATACGGTCAAAAGTGGACAGGGGATAACTGTTAGAATAACTATAAACACCTGTGACGCTAAGGGCAATAATCTTCCTCTGCAGGAATCATTTTTGAGATCCTCTTTTCTAAGCAGTAATTATGAATAAGGTCACCAAGTAAAAATTTTATACACTCAGCGACAACATAAATCAAAGATGATATATTACTAAAAATGATAGTTACCCTCCCCTAGAATGTTTTCATGAAAGGTCTGAAATGTGAATAAAATGTAAAGAAACAAGCAGTTACGTAAATGACGCATGGAGAACTCATGAACATGTATTGCGTAATCTTTATCACTTTCCTATTCCAAAACTGAAAAGGACAATAAAGACATCTAACGGAGCGCAGAATTTTTTAAATGTCATCTTTTATGTAAATACTCAAATATGGATGAACTGCACACACGGGAATAAATACAGGAATAAAATGTACAATTTCTTACGTTAGTTAAAATACTGCCCTTCTTAAATGTTATCTCCATAATTTAATCTCATTTTTAAAAAAGTAAATGTATTAATAGGTATAAAATCCAATACCATCTCGCTCCTCTGTGCTTTGTTCTATAAAACTGATATCAAAGCAGTACAGAAGCGCCATAAGAAGAGCCAGATTCACTGCATCCAACGAACCATTAGCCTCAACTGTCACTTTTTCCAAATGTCCAATAAGAAGCAGTGTGTCATCTTTGCCTAAAGGTGACTGACAAGCCCAGGCAAAAAGGCTTTCTGCCAGAGACTGCCTGCACTCCTTGATAAGATCAGAAACCTAGAAAGAAAAACGTATGATTGTTAGTACACATAAACCACAGTGAAACCACCCGGTCTTCTTCCAAAAATGTAAACTACCTTTTCCAAAGCTAAGCAACTAAATAAATCTATCTGAATCCACAAGTGACCCTAACCTGTCACCTCTGGAATTCTAAACAAACCCTACTGTTAATTCCTCATTTTAAGTTCCAAGCTCTGTTATGGGATGACCAATTTCTTGAAGAGTTCATTCCAGGAAAAGAGCTACAACAGCATATAAGTGACTAGAAAGAAGTGAAAACAGCTACAAGCCAATTTTGGACACAGATGCCTACACATTTTAACGTATGTTAGCAATTTTCTGTGCCCACGTTCTAATTGTTCTAATGGTCATGACTTTTCTGCCCGAGACCTGACATAGACAACCCATGAACAGATGTCAGTGAACCCTTGCCTCTTTTCGATGTTTTTCACTGCCCAAACCTCTCTCCCGCTGTAGCTTCTCAAACTCATTGTTCACATCAATCTGTGACACCAGAGTAAGCACTTTATAAGTCAATCCTTGCTCCATCAGTTCATCTGTAAAGCGTGTTGTCATGGAAACCAGCTCTGGACTGTAACGAAAAGAAATCAATAGAGAAAGTTACAACGAACAGTAATGCATACACTTCTTCACCTTACAGATATAGCAAATGCTGTTGACAATAATGTTACATTACTGGACAAAACAGGATGAATTATAACCCAGCTCTTTTAGTTCTTTCTAGATAACTAGGCATCAATAAACTTGTAAGCATACTTATTTTTTGTTAACAAATAAAGCAGCTTTAATCTGTTATTCTTTATAGAATAAGGAAGTATTTATTGCTCGGCTATGTTACATATCTTACTTAAATTATACATACTGGAAGGAGAAATTTACGTTATTTCTAATAATAAATTAATAAATCCAGATAATTTTTAATAAAGCCTTGAAATCCTAAGAAGCAAACAGACCTGAGTTCAAGGGTCCACGTCTTTCCTCGTCTAGACTGTATCAAGGCTTTCAGGGAATTTGCAATGCACCGCTTTCCATCCCAGTATAAAAGAACAGCTACTAGTCCTCTGGTGAGACCAGGAAAATGGGGCTGTTGGTGCTCTCCTAGAAAAGGGAGTTGAGAAACAATTTAGTAAATACACACGTGTGTGTTTAGGATGAGACCCAAAATGACTATGCCAACGTTCAGTTCAAAGAAATCACAGGACCTCGGGGTTCAAGGGGCCCTAAGGGTCCTCTACTTCAAACACCCATCTACTGTTTTCCTTCTTCCCTAACATCTACAAGAGGCCATCCAACTTGTGCCAGGACACTGGTAGTAATGGAATTCACCATTTCCCAAACGCTCAATCTCACCTTTATCTCTGATTTCTATGTGCTGGGGAACAATCTTTTGGTCTCACTACTGTCCACTGAATCCAATGTTGTTTAATGCCCATTTTACCCTCTTTCACATGAAATCTTTCCAATATTTGGACGTTTCTTCCCCTCAAGTTTTCTCTGAAAATTAACTTTTCCTGTTTCCAGTTCCCTCACCGTTTTAACTGCTCTCTTTTGAGTAATTTCCACTTTGTCTTTTTTAGTTTCAGTTTCATTTCCTAAGATTGTCTTTTCCCCGTAGCACAATCAGTCCACTCTCTCTCGTCCCCAAATTCATTTCACTGCTTCACACTTCTGTGCAGGCCATTTCTTGTGCCTGGATGCCCTTCGTCCTCCTGAATGCACACCTATTCTACTCGACATGTGCCTACTCATATTTCAACACCTACCTTAGGCCGCATGATCTTTATGAAGACTTCTCTGTACACCCTGAGGTCAATTCAATTTAATCTCTTTGCCTCTGGACCATCACTAAATCTTGCATAAACCGGCATTAATGCACCTAATTGTGTCATAATTATTTGTCCCCATGTCTTTCCCAGTTACTAGACTATGAGCTCCTTCACACTAGTTGTTTTATTCATGCTTCTCTTCCTGAAGCCTTAACACAGTGCCTGGCCCATGGTAAAAATAAAATAAATGTTAAATCAAAGTTCTGAGTTAAACTAAAACTCAAGCATATCCAGTTAACATTTCCATCCCAGAATGGAAAAACTACCTTCCTCATTCTCAATACCGTACTACTTTTAAATTTTTTTTTTTCAACGTTTTTATTTATTTATGGGACAGAAAGAGACAGAGCATGAACGGGGGAGGGGCAGAGAGAGAGGGAGACACAGAATCAGAAACAGGCTCCAGGCTCCGAGCCATCAGCCCAGAGCCCGACGCGGGGCTCGAACTCACGGACCGTGAGATCGTGACCTGGCTGAAGTCGGACGCTTAACCGACTGCGCCACCCAGGCGCCCCAATACCGTACTACTTTTAATGCAGCCTTAGGTCAAAAAGGATTTTGGAAGCCACATGACATCTTTAAACATATGAAACTTTTTCAATTAAAATGCCCACGAGAATGCAAGCTGGTGCAGCCACTCTGGAAAACAGTATGGAGGTTCCTCAAAAAACTAAAAATAGAACTACCCTGCAACCCAGCAATTGCACTACTAGGCATTTATCCACGGGATACAGGAGTGCTGTTTCGAAGGGACACATGCACCCCCATGTTTATAGCAGCACTATCAACAATAGCCAAAGTATGGAAAGAGCCCAAATGTCCATCGATGGATGAACGGATAAAGAAGATGTGGTATATAGATATATGTATATATACAATGCAGTATTACTCGGCAATCAAAAAGAATGAAATCTTGCCATCTGCAACTACGTGGATGGAACTGGGGGGTATCATGCTAAGTGAAATTAGTCAGAGAAAGACAAACATCATATGACTTCACTCATATAAGGACTTTAAGAGACAAAACAGATGAACACAAGGGAAGGGAAACAAAAATAATATAAAAACAGGGAGGGGGACAAAACAGAAGAGACTCATAAATATGGAGAACAAACTGAGGATTACAGGAGAGGTTGTGGGAGAAGGGATGGGCTAAATGGGTAAGGGGCACTAAGGAATCTACTCCTGAAATCACTGTTGCACTATATGCTAACTGATTTGGATGTAAATTTTGAAAAATAAAAAAATTTTAAAAATGCCCACGAGGCTTCTTCACAAGGCTCCTCTGCTATAATGAAAATGAATTGCTTACTTTATGGAAATTTCAACTTTTTCTCTATATAGCAGCCAGAGAAATAATTTCAAATTTTTTCTGGATTATGTAACTCTTCTGCTTAAAGCCCCTGTCAGCAACTTTCCATGGCAATCAATTAGAATAAAATCCAAATAATTTTCCTTGCCTGCAAGACTGAATGTGATCTAATTCCTGCTCTCTCCTTACCCTCCCTCACCTTCCCTGTCTTTGTGAGGCTCCTGCATCCTTCTATCCATGGTCTTTTTATTCTATAGTGTGCCTCTGGCCTCACCTCAAGCACTTGCTGCTTGGTCTGTCTGGGTCACCAACAACTCTAGTACCCTATCATCATGGAGGTCTCAGGTCATATGTCCCAGAGAAGCCTTCTCTAAATACCCTATTTAGAGTTGCCCTCTAGCAGTCCCCCATCTCTCTATAGCCCATTGCCTTGTTTTATTTTCTTCCTAGTAGTATTATTAAAATTCTTATTTTTAACCCATTCGCTTATCTGAACCCCCCCACCTCAAAAAGAAACTCCAAAAAAGCAGTGACCTTTCTTTCTTACTCATTCTATGACAATAAATTCTTTGTGCTATAAAATTTGTGAGATGAGCCAATGATTCTTTGCTAGTAAATTACCATGTAAAAGCCTATCTTAAAACAGTTAAATTACCTTTCACAACTTCAGTCACTAAAGCCTTCCCATTAGTCAAAGATAAACAAAAGGAGATGTTTTGAATATGACTTTGCGAATAAACTGCATCCTTAGAAACTACTCTGGAACCTAAATGATACAACACTATAAATCCTGAGCAAATGACTTTATAGTTCTGTCCTCCCTTACCATAGGGTCAATTAAATGTCAACCTACCGGCGAGGAGAAGCTCAACAGCTGCCAATTCTCCAATATCAAAAAGGTCACTAAGGATAAAGGCTTCTTTAATGAGCTGTTCAGGAAGAAGTCGGGTCCCCTGTTGACCCTGGATGGCGACTCCCTCTGTACTGGCTTTCTGAACCTTCTCGTGTTGTTGGACATTTTTGGGCTACAATGGCAAAAATAAATAAAATCAGGTGATGAACTAGTATCCTGGAGACAAGGTCTTAATTATTACCTAGAGAAGTTAATTCATGATAAGGTAGATTGGTAATGTGACAAAAGAAGTACTGTTTATCAGACAGTCTACAATTAGACCTTTATGAGGTAACACTTCCTACTCGTTCCAGCACTTTATGCTATTACTACCTTCTCAATAATTGCCCCTGCTAACCTCTGAAATACAAAATTTTGAGAAAGCACAAATAGTATACTATTTTTCAAGTCTGTAAGGAACTTTTCCAGTTATACATTTAATAAATAAAAACATAAAGTCTTCAAGAGGGAAATAACAAATATATACAGGAATTGTTGAATCAATCAGTAGGGCTAGTGATAGTTTATTAGTATATTATGTAAAATGTAGTCTTATTCCCAAAAAAATTCTTACTTGGTTCAGATAGTTAACAAATAACATATAGTATAGAATTATTTGATGGATCACAGTCTTAGAAATTTACATCTGGAAGAAGGCCACATAGGACATTTAAATCCAACTCCTCTATTAACAGATGGAAAAGCTGATGCCCAGATAAGTCAGGTGACCTCCCTGTCCTACAACTCTAGTGGTAGAGCCAAGACTGGAACTCAGCTCAACTGGCTCCCAGGGTAGGGCTCTTTCTACTAAAGAGAGAAAAAAAAAAAAAAAAAAAAAAAAAAAAAAGCTAAAAAGCAAAAGGTCATTTCTGGTAAGACAAACGGTTCTTGTTAGTCTACAAAAGAAAATTATCAAACAGCAAGGAAAGGAATTTCCAAATAAGAATTCCCTACACTGAAGTATTCTCTTCTTGGTTGAAAGGGATTTCAAGATGCAGTGAGTAAACACACAGGAATTCATTAGTTCAGCTAACACAACTTACATAACATTATGAAGAGTTAAAATGTTGAAAGTGTACCTGGAAATAAACAAAATAATCAATCTTACTGAGCTTAGATATATTAACTATACGTCAGAAATTCCAAGGACACTCACAATTCTGGAATATACTACACTTTATAAATTGCATTCAAATATTAATAAGATATCTCCTGGCTAGAGACAGATACATATTAACTTCTATGGAGAACAAAAAGAAGATAATAACTGCTCCTAGGAAAAATTACAGTTTTAGAGAAAACTTGAATCAGTGGACTAGGACAAGTACAAAAGCATATCCAAGAAGCAAAAAAGAAAATTTCCTACTGGGTTTCTGAACAGTGAGATGAAGTCAGGTTTGTGTTTCTTCAAGATCATGTCAAGAAGGTGGACAGCTTCAGGTTGTCTTCTCCAAAGAGCATTTCCCACTGTTTGCCAAATGTCTTTGTACGGACCCCACAGACTAGCAGCTTCAAGAAAAAATCGATAAAACCAGCATCAAATATGACACACATGTGGAAAATAACATAAGGTTACTGTCTACATATTTCAGTCACACTCATCATGGCTACTTTTAAATATGCAGAGTTATACTTATAAACCAAACATTAATATACAAGCACACATATCAGATTTCTCAAAAACAATATAAGCATCATTTTGTCTAGCTTAATACAACATAAAGTAAATCTCAACTTGAAAGTGGAATATCTGCTATGGTTTTGCCACTTTATTAGCTGTACGACATGGAGCAAGGAAATAACCTCACTAGATGATATCTACATCATAGGGGCAAAGGGATTAAATGAGATAAACTAGGTAAAACACACATTACAGTGACTGGCATATCATAGGCATTCAATAAATACAAGTCCCTATCATCCAAATAAAAGCAGGAGTAGGGACTAAAGATCAGATTTTGTAAAACTTAGCAGCTCAAAAAAAAAAAAAAAAAAAAAAAAAAAAAAAAAAAAAAAAAGGCAGTTTATTTTGGCTAGGACACTAGCTATTAAAAAACAACACAGAGGGGCACCTGAGTGGCTCAGTCAGTTAAGTGTCCGACTTCAACTCAGGTCATGATCTCACAGTTTGTGAGTTCGAGCCCCGCGTCAGGCTCTGTGCTGACAGCTCAGAGACTGGGGCCTGCTTTAGATTATGTGTCTCACTCTCTCTCTGACCCTCCTCTGCTCACACTCTGTCTCTCTTTCTCTCTGAAAAATAAAATAAACATTAAAAAAAATTTTTTTTAAAAACATAAATATGGAACACTTTTGTAAATTTATATAAGTAATACTGAGCTTTTGCCATGTGCTACTGAGCATGGTTCTGAGCTCTTTCCACGGATTATTTTATTTCAGAACACTATGAGGTCAGCACTCTGTCTTCTTCCATTTTATAGATGTGGAAATTGAGGCAGAGGGGGCAAGAAACTCACCCAGGGACACACTGGATACCTGGGTTATGAACCCTGGCAGTTTGTCACCAGAATGTGCCTTAACTACTAAACTATATTACTTCTATACCTAACATGTGGAAAATGAAAATGTCTGAAATAAATATAGGTGTTTTTTTTTTTAATTTTTTTTTTCAACGTTTATTTATTTTTGGGACAGAGAGAGACAGAGCATGAACGGGCGAGGGGCAGAGAGAGAGGGAGACACAGAATCGGAAACAGGCTCCAGGCTCTGAGCCATCAGCCCAGAGCCCGACGCGGGGCTCGAACTCACGGACCGCGAGATCGTGACCTGGCTGAAGTCGGACGCTTAACCGACTGCGCCACCCAGGCGCCCCATAAATATAGGTATTTCTGACACATCTGGTAAGTGAAATTAAGATCACATCTAGACATACCTAGGCAAATTCATCTAAACTCAGCCAAATTCACTTATCTAAAAATGTCTTATCTAAAAATGTTTCAGCCCATAAATAAACAATAAAATATTATAGGGGACAGGAGAAACAATCTGATCTTTAAAAACTCAAAATCAGGGGCGCCTGGGTGGCTCAGTTGGTTGAGCATCCGACTTCGGCTCAGGTCATGATCTCGCAGTTCGTGAGTTCGAGCCTCGCGTCAGGCTCTGGGCTGACAGCTCGGAGCCTGGAGCCTGTTTCAGATTCTGTGTCTCCCTCTCTCTCTGCCCCTTCCCCACTCATGCTCTGTCTCTCTCTGTCTCTCAAAAATGAATAAAGTTAACAAAAAAATTTTTTTTAAAAACCTCAAAATCAAATTCTGGAGACAGAGCATACGTAAGTGAAAAATCTCAATAACAATAGTACAAAAAAGGGAATATCATTGTTGACACAAAAAAATAAGAATTTCAAAAGATCAAAATGATGGTCAAGAATTTCTAAGGGATGGCTGCACTTGTGCAGCAATTTGGGGAAAATCTGGGTAACAAAGCACAGCCAAGAGAAAGCAGGAGCTAAGGCTCAAAGGCAGGTGCAAAAGTGTAAAAGAGAATTCAAAGAGCCATAGTGGAATTAAAGAGTAACAGCTTTCAAACTTTTGTGACTAGAACCCGCGGTAAGAAATATTCCATATCTCAACCCAGTAACTACATAAAACTGAAAAGTTGTATATAAAATACCAATATTCATTCAATCCATGCACTCTGATATTTTGTATCATGTTATTTTATTCATGAAATAAATTTATGAAATTCATGAAATATATTTTAGACCCACTGTTTGAATAACACTCCCTGAAGACCCAAGTTTCTGTTTGTAAACAATCAGATATGGTGTCCATATGTGTTTATAAAGACTCTGAAAGGGAAACTAGTCAAAACCAATCAGTCACTCCAGAAACGTGGAACTAATCTATAGCCTGAACTGTAAACATGTTTAACTTCTCTCTGAGAAAGCACAAATCCAAACAAACCAGGGAAGTAAGACGGCATGATAATGCAACCTAATTAAATGTGTTAAATGTTCACTGTAGTATAAGCAATATTGTCATAAAAAGACAATGCATTGGGAAAATTCTTTTAAGGGGGAAAATGTGCATGGTGAAGAATAGACTAAACTGGTCAAACCACATCATTCATTCACTCAACAAGTATTTACTGAGGACTTCCTATGTGCCAGGGACTACAGACCAAGCAAGATAGACAGTATGCCAGTCCTCATGGAACTCAGAGATTGACACAGAGAAAGACATTAAACACAGAATTCAAAATACAATGATCAATATAATAAAAGATGATGGAGAACTGCTAGGAGAACATATAAAAGGGAGAACCTAGCCTAACCTAATCTGAAGGGGAGGGCAGGAAGCCATAGGTCTTTGGTGTGGGGATGTGGGAGATGGGAATCAGCAGGTCTAGACCTCACATTAAGAGTAATCAGTCCACTCCCTGCTTTGCTTCCATTCTTGACAATCTTCTGATTAAAAAATATCATTTATTACGTAAATTTCTAGAGTAAAAGCTGTGCTGACCAACCAACATGAGTACCCATGCAGATACACTTCTCATTAAAGATCAATAAATTGAAATACTAGTTTACATATCTGTCTTTTCTGAGTCTGATTAGAGAAAATCAATGACTAGGATCCAATCAACTCTGGATACACTAACAAATAAGAGCTCAGGCCTGCCAAAACGAGAACCCAATCCCTAAATCCTGTAGACCACAGTGAGGTACTAGTTGGCTGATGACTAGCTGACTCCCCTAGAGATCATTTTCTTAGCTCTCGATACCTGCAAAGGATAGAGTAGGTCTGAGCCTCAGATTCCAGGCCGAGATGGAATTTTTCCTATTAGTAAGTAGAAAAAGTTTCAAGTAGTACGTGACAACACAAAACTCATACTACAGGGCACTGGTGTGGTTGCTGGATTAAGTAGAACACCGAGTGTCAGGAACCAAGGATGCTGGTGGGTAAGCCGCTAATAAGGTGATGCAACCTAAAGGAGGATGAGGGCAGTCAAACCAAAAGAAAAGGCCTGTTAGAAGAGCCAGAACTGGTAACTGATGGGCACGGGGTACAAAAGAAAGGTATCAAGGGGTGCCTGGTTGGCTCAGTCAGTTGAGTATGTGACTCTTGATTTCAGGGTAGTGAGTCTGAGTCACCTGTTAGGTATAGATATATTTAAAAGTA